AACCACACAAACTGCAATGTACTGTACGCCTACAGTACATCAATAAGATATAATAGAGTATATTTTACAAAGTGTTGTGATATAGTAAGATGTACACACACACACACTTTCATTCACAGGTGATAACACAGGTCTTGTTATAGGCAAGGACTAAAGATAGATAGATGTAGGCTATTACTGTAGGTATAACCACACAAACTGAAATATATAGTGCAACAATAAGAGTAGGCATAATCCATAATATTTTAACAAAGAATTATGATAAAGATGTATTACAGTAGATATAACCAACTGCAACCAATGGTCAGTGTGGCAGCGACCACTATCTTCAGCGCCCCTAGTGGCAGCGACGTCACACCGACCAGTGTGGCAGCAGCGTCATCTCATGCCCACACGCACAAACACACACACAGCAGTCCACTACTTGCCCCTGATGTCTGCGATATTGCAACAAAGTTTGAGTTTCATTAGCGTGAAAATTGCCACCAAAGACTAATGCTCACGGAGAGACGCAATTTCTCCCTTTATGATAGGTATAATATTTAAGTGTTATTATTTTACGCACTGATGGCCGCCGGCACACCATAGCAAGCATATTATCATATGTAGCGCTGTGCTAATTGGAGGATGCATCAAAAAGCCAATAATGCTAAACAAATAAGCAGCAGTCAATACAGAGTCTGATTCTAGTTTCATGTTAACGGCCTTAACCTGTTTGTTCAAAACTGTGAGCACGATAGTGGCCGATGGTGGAGAAGTGCAGCCATCCTGTCAGTCATGCTGTTTATCTTTTTAATGTGAATAATAAACAGATTTGTTCAAGTTCATTCTTAAGCCTGAGACAGTAGAAAATTGCTTTGATCCATTCCTCTCTATCATCTACCAGTTGAGATAATTGAAATGATCTAAGGTCACTTTAGGTCTACTTTGGAACCATAGACTGTATAAAAACTTGAAACTGACCTTTTTTAATACAGCCACAGTTTGTGTGACAAGGAACAGAAAGGAGCCTTCGCTTAGAGACTGTGGCAGCGACCAGTATCTTTAGCGCCCCTAGTGGCAGCGGCCAGTGGTTTGTGGGGCAGCAAGGCAGCAACCAGTATCTTTAGCGCCCCTAGTGGCAGTGACCAGTATCTTTAGCGCCCCTAGTGGCAGTGACCAGTATCTTTAGCGCCCCTAGTGGCAGCGACCAGTATCTTTAGCGCCCCTAGTGGCAGTGACCAGTATCTTTAGCGCCCCTAGTGGCAGCGACCAGTATCTTTAGCGCCCCTAGTGGCAGCGACCAGTATCTTTAGCGCCCCTAGTGGCAGCGACCAGTATCTTTAGCGCCCCTAGTGGCAGTGACCAGTATCTTTAGCGCCCTAGTGGCAGCGACCAGTATCTTTAGCGCCCCTAGTGGCAGTGACCAGTATCTTTAGCGCCCCTAGTGGCAGCGACCAGTATCTTTAGCGCCCCTAGTGGCAACGACCAGTATCTTTAGCGCCCCTAGTGGCAGCGACCAGTATCTTTAGCGCCCCTAGTGGCAGCGACCAGTATCTTTAGCGCCCCTAGTGGCAGTGACCAGTATCTTTAGCGCCCCTAGTGGCAGTGACCAGTATCTTTAGTGCCCCTAGTGGCAGCGACCAGTGGTCTGTGTCGCAGCAACCAGACCACAAAATTGACTACAACCCCCTCTCTAAAATTCAGCTGTACAAATGTCGGGACTTACTTGCTTTATTTTTTTTTATTTATTTATTTATTTTTTTATTTCGGCCAGTGGCATTAAGAAACGTTAGGCTATATGGGTCAATTTTTTTTTTATGCGGTGCCTTTTGCGTCCCCAGTACAAATCATGTTGTATTTTGACAAAATTTGGACAAATACTAGTTCCATTTGTTTTGTTGTTTTTTTTTTGTTTTGTTTTTTTTATATAAAGTTAATTGTTATTAATTACGATTACAATGAGATTGGCTTTTAAGTTGTTTTAATTTACATTATAAAAGCTTTGGTTTAAGCGGTACTATGGGATTTTGCCATGTCCTCAGTGTTGATCTAAAGATAAAAAAAACCAAACTTATAAGATCCAACGAAGGTTAAAATCAAGGGCAACTGGACTTGGTTGAAGATACTGGATCTTCAACCAAGTCCAGTTGCCCTTGATTTTAACCTTCGTTGGATAACTATGACCTGGATGACTGAGAATCTTCATAGACAAAACTTATAAGAACAAATGCATTTCTTAATATTTAATTAAAATTGTTAAAAAAGGTTTCATGTTTGTCCCCATGCAGCGACCCACTGTCCACCCTGTTTTTTTTTTGTTTGTTTGTTTTGTTTTTTACCGAAATCACTCTCGTCAGGTGACCTGGTGACATCACACCAGTGGGGGGAATTTAGCTGTGTGATTTTCTAGCTCTCTGACTATCTGCTTTTGACATTTTTTAGTCAGTTAATGTGTTTGAACATGTCCACCCTGTTAAGATCAATCAACTTAAATCATTTCAAAAACGGTTTGTGAAAAATTATAGATTGCTCATCTAGTATTGAAGGTCATGCTAGCCGTTATGGGATATGTGATTGTTATTTTAGTAGCAATCATACCCTGAAAACACTTTTAGACAGTTACGTCTAAGTCCTTAACATTTCCCGCGTGTCACATGTTGTTAATTATCTATATTTAATACAATAAAGGTGCCTGTTTTTCATAAAGTTAGATGTATTCTTTATATAATAGAACTTTAAAATATAGATAAATTAACTATTATTTATCCCAAGTTGTGTAAATGCTCTGTATTTGTATAGCGCCTTTCAGGTCTTTTCGACCACTCAAAGCGCTTTTATACTAACATTAACATGCATTCACACACTGAGCCTAAGTGCTCAAACAGAAACTAACATTCACACTCATTCATACTGGCGGAACAGCCACCAGGGGCAATTCGGGGTTCAGTATCTTGCCCAAGGACACTTCGACATGCAACTGGGGGAGCCAGGGATTGAACCGCCGACCTTCCGATTAACGGCCAACCCGCTCTACCTCCTGAACCACAGCTGTTATAAAGTCCAATATATATTATAGCCCTATAAAAAATACCCATATGCTTTGTAAAAAACTCCCTGCTGCTGTTATGAATATGAAGTCGGGAGAGAAGTTTGTTTGGGCGGTAGTGAAAGCAGTGTTTCCCATAATTAGCCTATAAGTTTGAACCCCCCCCCCCCCCCGTCATTCTGTGGGAACCACTGGAAAGTAATATAGTGACGTAACTAGTTTCTTTTATCTCCCAGTAATAAGTAACTAGTAATGTATTACAATTTCTGAGTAACTTGTCCATCACTGCTGCAGACACGTTATAATGAAACTCTGATTTAATAAAACTCAGTTTTGCTCTAAGTTTGTTTTTTAACCACTGATGATGATGATAAGCATTTAATTGCAACTTAAACAAAACAGATTTAATTTTTGTAACAACATTTTGACCAAAACGTTATATAAAATAATACATTTTAATTTAATCTGTTATAGCCGAGAGAGATGCTGATAAACGCATCATGTAGCCTAACACACACTGACTCGTGACTTCCTGTAAATGGAGAGGCGAGGCAGTGAGCAGGCTCAAGAGAACAGGAAGCAGCCTGAAGCTGAAACAGTTCAGTCAGTTCAGACTCCATTTTGAGTTGACAGAAGAGGAAAGCAGAAGGCTGAGGCAGGGTGAGTGGTAATCAAACTTTAAATTATGTTACTGTCAAAGTCTCTGAGTCAGTTTTCTCCCTGCGGACTGTAGAGGAAAGAAACTTTAGAGTGAACTCAACACTTGGATTCATCTGTGGACACAAAGTCCTGACTGGCTGCTGTTAGTGTGTCTGTTACTTCCTGTTCTCTCAGTTTTGCGTCTTCTTTGAACAAACTAGTTTTTCCTCAAGTCCGACTTAAGATGGCGGCATGTCGACGATGAAGGAAATGTGGGAATTACTGCACAAATGCTTTTTAAATGATCCAGTCGTTGCCAAAGTTGATAGATATCTTTGAAGGAGACCTTTCCCTTTAATTATTCACCGTTGTTCACACCATGAGTACTAAATTTAGAACTAACGTTGAGTAAGTTAGCTTATGCTAACAACAAAATCCAATGATGGAAAACTCAGGCGAAGAGGAGCTCCTTAGGCTGGAAGATCTGCACTTTGCAGAAAAGTAAAACGAAACATAAGAGAGATTCACTGCTGCGCTCGCCAAGATAAAACAGAACATGGCTCTCAGAGACAAATGTGAGCAACTTCAGAAAACAAGTCACAGAGCTTAAAGTCACTGAAGTTGATCGTTACAGCTGACGTTATAACCTCCGCCTTCTTGGTGTTCCTGAAAGATAAGAGGATGATCACCAGTGCAATGCTACCTGTCTCTGAGTCCGAGTAAAGGCAATAGATAGATCCAAAGATGAAGGATCCAGTCACTCAGTGCGACCAGTGAACATCAGGTTCCCTTCACGAACGGCCAGAGATGTGTTGTGGAGAGGATCTAAGAAGAATTACTACCTTAAGAACAACCGGCTCCACTTCAAAGAGGACCGGACTTCAGATGACGTGTTTATGGCCAGCTGTGGAGGCAGCAGGAAAGAGAGGAGACATTAATAAGGCATTTATTAACGGGAAGGAAATTAAAATAGACTGAAAGAAAACTACCCAAAGATACTAAGCAAATGGGATGAATATATTACTGTGCTCTGGGTAAACATTCTGTTTAAGTCACAGTCTTTAACCTTGAGGAGGACAGTATATTAACAAGGCAGCAATATTCATCACCTGTAAGTGACGCCTTAATTAACCAAAGGGTTTAAGACCTCAACGAAAAGAATTTCTGTGAACTCAACACTTGGATTCATCTGTGGACACAAAGTACTGACTGGCTGCTGTTAGTTTCTGTGTTACTTCCTGTTTTCTCAGTCTTGCGTCTGACTCTTGAACAAACTTGTTTCCAGGTTCTTGTGCTCTGAGCTCACAGTCAGTGTCACTGTTTCACCTCTCAGACTGACTTCAGACCAGAAGATGAGTGTTTGTGTGGAGGAAGAGGAGGACAGAGCAGAGTCTGCAGGATCCAGCTGTCTGTCTATGAGGAGTGACTGGTCCAAAGAGTATCCTCCAGACATCAGTAAAGAACCTGGACCCTCAGACACAAAGTAAGAGAACTGCTGCTAACTCATTTATATTTTCAATCAACTCTGCCATGTTTTCTGTTGACTTTGTGTTTATATATCAACAGTCCTACTTCCTCTCCTTCCTCTTCCTCTTAGTATCTGTCAGTCACCTAGAAAAGCTGTAATCCGATGATAAGGATAATAACCTTTATTTATAGAGCACTTTTCATAAACCGTGTTACAGTGTGCTTTTAAAAATGCAATAAAACACGATAAAAGCAAGAAAACATTTAAGAAATTACAGTTAAAAGAAAAGAAATTTGGAAAGGCTTTCTAAAAGGGCTAATACAACATTTAAACCTCAGCAGTAGTTTGTGTGTTTAGAGCTTCCTGAATGACTTTCATCAGAGAATTTATCAGGATCCATGTGATATGAATAAAAACATCTTGTGTTTGCAGAGTTCAGTCCAGCAGAAAGAGAGCAGAGTCTGCAGGATCCATCTGTCTGTCTATGAGGAGTGACTGGTCCAAAGAGTATCCTCCAGACTTCAGTAAAGAACCTGGACCCTCAGACACAAAGTAAGAGAACTGCTGCTAACTCATTTATATTTTCAATCAACTCTGCCATGTTTTCTGTTGACTTTGTGTTTATATATCAACAGTCCTACTTCCTCTCCTTCCTCTTCCTCTTAATATCTGTGTCAGTCACCTAGAAAAGCTGTAATCCGATGATAATGATAATAACCTTTATTGATAGAGCACTTTTCATAAACCGTGTTACAGTGTGCTTTTAAAAATGCAAAGACTGTAAACCACACGTTACAAAAAAGAGAGAAAATATATCCGTAAAAGCTTTCTAAGAGGACTAATAGAAACTTATAAACCTCCTATTTATCAACAGCAGCAGCAGTTTGTGTGTTTAGAGCTTCCTAAATGGATTTCATCAGAGAATTTATCAATGATTCATGTTCTATGAAACATCCTGGTGTTTGCAGAATTTACTCCAACAGACAGAGAGCAGAGTCTGCAGGAGCCAGCTGTCTGTCTATGAAGAGTGACTGGTCCAAAGAGTATCCTCCAGACCAAAGTTCGTTTTCCCCCTTGGTGCTGTCCGTTTGGGCAGATGTGAACGCAGCAATCGCACTCAGGTGCGCACCAAAAGCAGATCAAACCTCTTCAAGGAGGTCTCAGTAGGAGAGATGTGATCTGAGCATTATTTCCAAAGCTAAACCACTAAAAAAATCCATCTGCTGACAGCGAAATGCGTTCAGCGATCTTATAATTGATCTGTACAAGCCGCTATGTTTATGAAAATCATTTCATAAGGTATAGCCTACTTGTCAGCGCGTAAAAAAATAATAGGGAAAGTAATATTCCGTTTACCCTGTCAGATCATCAGTCCATAAAAAATGTGACAGTGATACCACAGTATACTATAGGCTGATAAGCCCCGAATTATTACTGTACATGTCCTGTTTTACGTTATTATTCATAACAGGCTATGCGGTCGATCTGCTGTCTAATATAACTAATCATGCTTTTAATAAATTATTACTTCGTGATCTCTTTGTGATACAGATCAGAAGCATTAAAGTGCTGCATAAACTTCTGTCAGTCACTGGAGTTTGATTTCCCCACGTGGGTCCTGATGATGCAGGGTGAAAATTGCCAAAACTGTCCAATCAACAAGCTACCTGTACGTCTATGTAACGTCATGGTTACTTCTCTGGTTAGTCTGTAAAACTGCAGTGTGAAAATGAACCGGACCAGAACTAAAATGCAACTGTGTATCATTTTTTTCCACTTGGTCCGGACGAAATGAACCGAACTACAGGTGTGAAAGCGCCCTAAGAGACAGTTTTTACTGTAAACTGACCTGATGGAAGATGATGCATTGAGGATGAAGACAAAATGTTCTGCTAACAGATTTATATTCCTGATGCAGAACTATTAGTGCAGATTTAGTTTCAAACTAAGATGGATCTGATTTGATTTCTGTAGTAAAACACCTGAGAATCTCCAGTTCAGAATTTACACTTCAAGAAACTCTTCATATCTTTTCCCTCATGTTGACGTTGCTGTAAATATTTAAAACAATTCAACAAAGATCAACTAAAGAAATGTCTTCACAGAGAGAGGCAGAGGAGTCCTGTTCCTGTGGAGGAGCAGCCGTCCTGCTGTGCTTTGTGTCAGGACGTCCTGAAGGATCCAGTCTCTACCAGCTGTGGACACTGGTTCTGCAGACGGTGCATCACCTCATACTGGGACCAGTCTGCTTCATCGGGACACTCCTCCTGTCCCCAGTGTGGAAAAAGATCCAGAACCAGAACTAGACTGCAGACAGCCAGTCAGAGCAGCTCTGTACAAAGTAAGACTGGACATCTGTACATCTTAAACATGGAACCTGCTACATTTCATTACATTACGTTTATTTAGAGACTTACAATAAGAACATTCAACCCAGAAATGACAAGAACCATGCAGGTACATCAGCTTCATCAAATAAGCTGAACTGCTTCAAGAGCTGCGTTTAGTTTAAGATGTGTAGGGCTTAAAGTATTCCGACGCTGTGCAGGGCGTTTTAAATTCGACAGTATATAATTATGTCTGTGATAAAAATATTCTTGTTTATTTTTTTAACTGTTGCGTAATATGTGTGTGTGAAGCACATTGGGTGGCTCGATGTATACACCAAGAAAGGGGAGTGGCACTTCCTGACTATGTGGACACTCATTGGCTATTGTAGGCAGGGCATGGAAGTTTCTGAGGTTTCCAAGCTTTGGTGCCTTTCATGCAGCCGTCTGCAGAAAGATGCTCGTAAACTTTTAGTGAACCGACTGGATGTGGTTGGACAAAGTTGTTGAATGTTCTACAGGAAACTTCAGAAATGTTGATCTCATTCAGAGACGTATTTAGAGCCCGACCGATATGGGTTTTTGGGGACCAATGCCGATATTAAAGTGAAAAAGAGCCGATTTATGAGCCGATATTGAGATTTTAAGAATGATTTGGACAGCAGACCCCTTCACTCAGTGTGCGAATTATACAGTGACAACCAACTTTTTTTTCCAGGTCCAAAAGAAAACCCAGTACAGCAGAGGCGCGGGCTTCAGTCAACTAAATCTTACAATGTTTACAATATCCTTGCCTATTTGTCATCCGTCTGTAGATGATGATAAATCAAATTCCTGACACCAGTTCATGGGTGCCCCAATAACACACACCAACTTCTGTAGTCAGAGGTCACCAAGAATTCTACAGCAAAACTGCCAGAAAGTCACATCAGCAGACCATCGTGACCGCTCAAAACAGACCCACACAGTGTAAAATACAGTCTGAATTATCATCTCGAATTCCTAATTTTTATCATTCTCATCAAGTTTAAAGTACTCGTTTGTAGCAAATATCTCCTTCCCTCTTGCTCATGTTGACTGTGAATGATGTAATCTGCGTCCAACAAAGCAGAATTCTGACAAACACTGCTGTTGGGGAATTGGGAAGAGTTAAAACAAAGACCATGTTTATTGTGAAAGGACTCACAAAACACTTTAAAATATATCTCTACAATGACTAATCCCCAATTTCACTGTTCAAGCCTAAACACCAGTGTTAGCTGACAATTACATAAAATATGAAATTACATAGTTATAATGAAATGACGGGCTCTCAGCTAGCTAACAACAGATAGATCATTTTGAGTAAAAGAAATGCTAATTACGCATCTCTGAAGGTAGGAAAGATAAGTGTATTAAAGCAGCTAGATAGTTAACTGACATTAAACCGCTGCGTCTCCATTAGCGTGTGAGGAACCAGACTGGAGCCGACAGACGTTCAACTAACGTCAATGTTAGGAAATGGTACGGTCCGTTTTAGGGGAAATCGATTCTTGAATATAAGGCATGAGTACGGGAAGTATATTGTAATATTTTCAATGACAGGTAAGAAAGACCCCCCTGAACTGTTGGGTTTTGCCTCTTTTGGGGGGTCCAAGCCTTAACTAGGAGGGTCAGACCCCCGTAATCTGAACCATGGCTTTACTGTATAAACTACACTTAAAACAGGCCGGTATTGAAAGCTGGTATGTATGTGGGCTATAAAACCTTTTCCTAAATGGATTATGTAAATAAAATAGATTACTGTCTCAATAAGTGAACAGTTGCACATCAATAAATATTTGTTGCTGGAAGTTTCAACTTTTTCAGCCGTCTGTAAACAGAGAGAGAAAAAGCATGTGTGTTTCACTTTACACATAATCTGACATAATTTCAATGTAGCACATTCACATCTAGTTCATCCCTTTACCAGCACTCTTTAATACTAACCAAGGCTACGAGAAAGCATTCAACCACCATCGGGATAAATCATGCTGTCTATGATACAGTGCGCTGCTGTTGAATGCATCTAACACAACATGACTCTCTACAACGAGGACCTGCAGCTTTGAGATTTCATTTAACTAACGTTATAACAACAACCAGAGCCGTTACGGCTCAGACTACAGCGTTTCACATCTACAACGTCACAAAAAGAGGAGCTACAGGAAGCCGTGTTAGATTCTTGTTCAGCTCACGTTTAATCCCCTGTCTGCTCTGGTTTAATCATTTCAGACACGCCGACTAACTGCAGACAGGCGGCTGGCAGATATATTTAGAATACACCAGAAACTACAGCTTCTGATTCGGCACTTAAGGGGAAAGTTAACTTGCATTGCTGAGCGACTGATTCTCCATTTTTTGCACCTCTTACTGCTGTGAAAGCTGTTAGGCATTTCAGGCAAAGCCTTAACGCTGTCTGAAACACTTTTTTAGATTTGAAAACACTTTATTTTATTTATGAAAATGAAAGAACAGCTTTTTCTCTATGTGTAGACCACATTAGACCAGGTCCAGATCCAAAACCACCATACCCAGAGCTCTCAAATCTGGACTAGATTGTCCAAGAGAGGCTAAAGTTTCTTTTAAACAGCTTCAGATCTGTGAAACCTTTTATTCCTTTTGTGAAAATACTATAAAGGGTGATTTCAATGTTTTTTTTTTTTCACAGAGCAGCGTAGCTTCCAACACTATTAAACTGCTGTGAGCCGGGAGGAAGTCGGGAGAGTGCAGTGAAAAACGGGAGGGTTAGCAAGTCATGAATGTTTCCAGGAGAGAAGTGACTGGGTCTGTTCTTATTATAATTATTTACACAGCCCTCTGCCTGTTTCAACGTGCTCTGGTAGACTGCAGTCAGCTGACTGTTTTCTTCTGTGGTTTTTGTGGTGAGGCAGTGTAGTTAACAGGGGAGCTACAGCTGGTCGCCCTCTGGTGGGCAAACTATGCAACACCCATGACGTGAGTGAAGGATCTGACTCTGTTACACTTCCTCTGATAACACCTCTAACTCCTAACCTCTAACACGCACTTCCTGTGCTCTTCTTCTTCTGTCCCCGTTCAATGATCTTGTTTTGATTGCACTTTTTGTTAACTCTTACTTCCCTCCCTAGGTATCTACCCCATTGATGTGATGTGTACTGTGAGCTCTTACTAGTATGTTTTGTCAGTTGTAGATCTGTAGTTGATGCTTGATTGTTGTTCCTCAAATGTAAGTCGCTTTGGATAAAAACGTCTGCCAAATGAGTAAATGTTTCTTTTTTAATCGTCATATCTCTGTCGTTATAAACGGCCGATGCAGATTAAATGCCATTAGCTCATATCGGCCGCTGATAAATTGGTCGGGCTCCAGTTGTATTGCAATAAGTTATTATTGAGGAGTTAGTACTTAGCATTAAACAGCATTAGAGACTCTTACTGAAGAATTTAATGAATTAAAATTATAAAAATGAATCTCCTGTTTTGTCCAACTGGAATTAATATTATATAAGTGGTAAGCTATATAGTATACTCTTATCTGAAATTATAGTGAACGTTAGCTCTGGTAGCGGCCGACACACATTCAAACATCTGAATGAGGAGTACCAGCAGCTTTTTCCCCACTTCAACCGTAGTTGACAATTATGTCAACAATAGATATGAGGTTGTTGGCAACCTGAGTATTGGTTAAATACTTGAACCCACCTGTGGTGTCATTTACACTGGATTTTTGAAATGGCTGATTTTTGTCCCACCATTTATTTGCACAATAACAAAACATGCAATGCAACTGAAATATAGATGAAATAAATCTGCATTGTCCAAAAAAGTAAAAACAAGCTACTGATTATAAAATGACCCCAAAAAGTGAACCAATCAGGAACTTTAACAACTTCTTTGTCTCAACTTTCTTCTCTTCTTTAGTGAGCGGTGGTCTGCAGGAGGTTTTAGATGAACATAAGATCAGTCTGAGGAGGAGATGTGAACGTGTGACTGAAGGAAGTGATGAAACAGGAAGTGATGAAACAGGAAGTGGAACCCTCCTCAACAGGATCTACACTGAGCTCTACATCACAGAGGGACAGAGTGAAGAGGTTAATACCCAGCATGAGGTGAGGCAGCTTGAGACAGCTTCCAAGAAGAAGACCCTCCATGACGCTCCAATCAGGTGCCAGGACATCTTTAAAGCCTTACCTGGCCAACAGAGAGCCATCAGAGTGGTTCTGACCAACGGCGTCGCTGGCGTTGGAAAAACCTTCTCGGTGCAGAAGTTCACTCTGGACTGGGCAGAGGGCTCGGAAAACCAAGATGTCAGTCTGCTGGTTCTGCTCTCGTTCAGGGAGCTGAACTTGATCAAAGATGAGCGGCACAGTCTCCTCACGCTGCTCCATGTTTTCCATCCAACATTACAGAAGGTCCCAGCAGAGAAGCTCGCCGTCTGGAAACTGTTGTTCATCTTTCACGGCCTGGATGAAAGCAGACTTTCATTGGATTTCCACAACAGTGAGGTTGTGTCTGATGTCACACAGAAGTCATCAGTCAACCTGCTGCTGACAAACCTCATCGAGGGGAATCTGCTTCCCTCGGCTCTCGTCTGGATAACTTCCAGACCTGCGGCGGCCAATCAGATCCCTCCTTCGTGTGTCGGCAGGGTAACGGAAGTACGAGGCTTCACTGACGCCCAGAAGGAGGAGTACTTCAGGAGGAGAGTCAGTGATGAAGAGCTGTCCAGCAGAATCATCTCACACATCAAGACCTCCAGTAGCCTCCACATCATGTGTCAGATCCCAGTCTTCTGCTGGATCACTGCTACAGTTCTGGAGCACATGTTGACTACAGAGCAGAGAGGAGAGCTGCCCAAGACCCTGACTGACCTGTACTCACACTTCCTGCTGGTTCAGATAAAGAGGAAGAAGCAGAAGTACGATGAGGGACATGAGACGAGTCCACAGGAGCTGACAAAGGCTGACAGGAAGGTTCTACTGAAGCTGGGGAGGCTGGCGTTTGAACAGCTGGAGAAAGGAAACATCATGTTCTACCAAGAAGACCTGGAGCAGTGTGGTCTTGATGTCACAGAGGCCTCGGTGTACTCAGGAGTTTGTACAGAGATCTTCAAAAGAGAGAGTGTGATCTTCCAGAAAACCGTCTACTGCTTTGTTCATCTGAGCGTTCAGGAGTTTCTGGCTGCAGTCTACATGTTCCACTGTTTCACCAGCAGGAACACAGAGAGACTGGAGGACTTCCTGAGGAGTTCCATGGAGAAATCTCTCCAAAGTGAAAATGGCCACCTGGACCTGTTTGTTCGCTTCCTTCATGGCCTCTCTCTGGAGTCCAACCAGAGACTCTTAGGAGGCCTGCTGGGTCAGACAGACAACAGTCCAGAAATCATCCAGAGAGCCATCAACAACCTGAAGGAGATGAACAGTGATGAGATCTCTCCTGACAGAAGCATCAACATCTTCCACTGTCTGATGGAGATGAACGACCACTCAGTACATCAGGAGATCCAAGAGTTCCTGAAGTCAGAGAACAGATCAGAGAAGGAACTCTCTGTGATCCACTGCTCAGCTCTGGCCTACATGCTGCAGATGTCCGAGGAGGTTCTGGATGAGTTGGACCTCAAGACGTACAACACGTCAGTGGAGGGACGACTGAGACTGATTCCAGCTGTGAGGAACTGCAGAAAGGCTCGGTAAGTCCAGATGTGATTATCAGCAATGTAAAGCAGGGTAAAGCTGAAGCATCAGTATTACAGCAAGCAAGCTAGCGTATTGAAATAATTCTACATGTGTTACACTACAAAAGTCTACAGAATGTTTTGGGTTCATAGCTGTCAAGTCAAAGAAGCATCTACTATCATTAGGGGTTATTATGAACTTTTGTAAACATCAAAATTAGTTTACAATTTTTAAACAAACTTTCAAATTACACATATTAAATTATATAAAATAAAAAATAATTAGAAAAATAATACTGCTGCAAACTATGACCAAGTTCTCTACTCAGATTTATTAACGCTTTTATTCACAAACAATATGTTGAACATATAAAGCAGAGAAGCATAGGGCTGACCGAAATACACACAAACACAAAAAAAATAAAAATATATTTTTCTAATGATAATAAAACAAAGGGGATCACAAATCAGCACTGAAAGATGTTAAACAGAGTAAATAGATGCAAGGTCTTGATAGCTTTCCTGTTTTTAGACTATAGGATTGTCTTGACGTACTGTCTGACTTCGTTTTCAAAAATGGCAAAGGGAGTTTTGTGGTTGGAGAACTTAGATTTGTGAATATGTGATTTTGCCAGCAATAATATCAAGTTGATGATGATGAAGTAATTTGCCTTTATAGAAGGGTATGTTAAAAAAAACCAATACATTGTCATAGGAAAGTAAGAATTCAGAGTCAATATATTGGGAGATAAATGTACAAATGTCTTGCCAAAAGGTGCAGGAGTGAGGACAAGACCAAAATAAATGATGCAAGTCTTCTTCAGCCATTTGACAAAATGAGCAGTCCACATCAATGTCCTTTTTATATCGTCGTAGAAATACCTTGCAGGGATAAAAGCGATGCAGCATTATAAAAGATACTTCCTTAACCTTATTTAAAATTAGATATTTGGAAGGCAGGCACCAAATTCTTTCCCAGTCCAGATTTGGAGTGAGGTTATTCCAATAAGGAACAACATTTGGAACAGAGACTATTTCTTTTTGAAACAGAGAACGTATAGATCGGTTAATGTTTCTCAAATTAGAGGAGAAGCAGATCTGGCCATCAGTCGACATATAAGGATCCAGTGGCAAAAAAGTTGGTATGGATACTATATCATTTTTAAGAAGCATTAGAGCACCACAAGGGATTGCATCAAAAACTAAGACGTATTCCTTTGGCGGTATAGGAATACCAGACTTGTCTAGAAGTTCGGAGTATGACAATAATTCACCACTAGAACTGAGGAGCTGTATTACCAGATAAATTCCATGGATAAACCAGTTTTCCAAGAACAATGATTTGTGTTTAGACAGAATGTCTCTGTTGTTCCAGATGTAGTATTTGTGCAGGGAAAAGTTGTATTTATAAACTAAGGACCAGGAAAGGAGCAATTGTTTGTGAAAATTTGATAACTTTAAGGGGATTTTTTCAACATTGTAGCTGCAAAGTAGGAGGAACTGAAGACCTCCAAGCTTTGAAAACAGGTAGTTCGGAATAAAATTCCAGATTGAGTTAGGATTTTTTAAAAACTGTTTTATCCAATTTATCTTAAAGGTGTTGTTGAGGGTGGAGAAATCAAGAAAGTTTAGACCATTTACATAAGAGTTCATTAATACTGATTTTCTAACATAGTGGGTTCTATTTGTCCATACAAAGTTGTATAGCAGGTTATCGATGACCGTAGAGGTCCGTTTGTTGACATCTAGAGATAAGGCTGCATAAGTAAGATGAGATATGCCCTCAGCTTTGGTAAGCTAAATTCTTCCTTCAAGAGATAAGTCTCTTTGAACCCATTTTTTTTTTTTTTGTACCTTTCCCACCACTGGGTTGAAATTCAAAGAGCATCTGGTGTTGTTGTTTTTGTTGATTAAAAAATTCCAAGGTAGGTGACGGACTCTTTCACTGGAATGGTAGAGATAGACGTAACGTTGCAACTTTTGAGGGCGAGCAGCTCACACTTACTGATGTTTAAAAAATGTAAATGCTCTGTATTGCGACCACTCAAAGCGCTTTTACACTACATCTGCATTCACCAGTCAAACACATTCATACACTGAGCCTAAGTGTGCAAACAGAAACTAACATTCACACACACTCATACACTGGAACAGCCACCAGGGGCAATTCGGGGTTCAGTATCTTGCCCAAGGACACTTCGACATGCAACCAGGGGGAGCCAGACCGCCGACCTTTCGATTAACAGCCAACCCGCTCTACCTCCTGAGCCACGGCCGCCCCAGAGGCCCAGAGAAGACCAGAGGCTTTAGTGAATGTCTTAATTGTATCGATAGCAACTGAAAACTGTGAGGCATCCTTTAAAAAATAAAGTGGTATCATCAGCTAGTTGACTAAGTATTATTTCTTTTCCAACTATTGTGAGCAATTTGCATTCTTATACATGGTTTTAATGGCTGCACAAAAGTAAGTGCCAAAGCAAAATTTATCTAAGGCCTGTAAGAGAAAGATAGATGTTCGACTGTGTCAAAAGCCTTGCAGAAATCTAAAAACCGTATATAGCCATCAGCGTAATCAATGAGGTCCAACACAAGTCTGATGTTATTAGATATATGTCTATGCCTCATAAACCCGGTTTGGTTTTCATCAATAATTTGGTCCAAAACAGCTTTTAATCTTTTGGCAAAAACTAGAGCTAGGATTTTGTAGTCATTATTAAGAAGGCAGATTGGTCGCCAGTTGTCAATGCACAGTGGGTCTTTCCTATGCTTTGAAGTCCTTGAGATAGAGTGGGGGGAGCGTTTGGTTTTCAATGCTTTCTGTGTATACACGGTGAAGGAAGGGAGCAAGATTTTGTCTGCAAAAGCAATATAAAATTCAGCGGTAAAGCCATCAACACCTGGAGATTTGTTAACTTTTAGACGGTGAATGGCATACAGAACTTCATCTGCAGTTATTGGGTTATCACAAAAATCTTTCATTCAATATTGATTTTGTTTTAGTGAGGTATCCTAAAAAGGTGTTAGCTGCTACCTCATTATACTGAGATGTATACAATTTTTTTTTATAAAAAGTAGAACAGTACTTAGCTATCTTTTGGGGATCATCATCTCCATCATCGTCTCCAGGGATGAAGTTGCGCTTGACTCTTGTCCATTTCTGACGTTCTTGTAGTTGGGGTAGGGACTCCTTCGTCCATCTTTTCCAAAACAGATCGGACATGTACTGAACCTGCTTCCATCTCCGGCGTGCATACTGTAGATGTCCTTCCGAAACAGGCCGGGTGGTAAGCATGGTTTGGCCTTAAGAAGAAGATGGTTAGGTGTCAATGCTTCTAAGTCATTTGGATCTGTGGATTCTTTAGTGATAGGTCTACTGTTGAGAATTGATTCCACTTCACAAAGCACTGTGTGGAGTCCTTCTTCATCCAGACTTTGTGTCCTCAAAGTGGAGTTGAGGATTTTCCTGATGGAGCGAATCAACCTCTGCCATGCTGCATCTACTTGGAGGGTTGAAGACTTGATCCCGTTTTAAAGTCAGAGCATCATTGATCTTCTCAAGGTTCCATCCTTCAATGGCTCTTCTCGGCTCACGCTCTGCTCCGACAAAGTTGGTGCCGTTGTCTGAGCGTAACTCTTGAACCTGTCCTCGTCTCGCTATGAAACATCTGAAGGCGTTAATGAAAGAGTCTGTGCCCAATGATGAAGCCACTTCAATGTGTACTGCTCTTATTGCCAAACATGTGAAAATGACTCTGGATCTCTTCACAAGGATTCTCCCACGATTGACTTCAAATGGACCAAAATAGTCCACTCCAACAAAACTGAATGGAGGTACCTCTGAAGAAACTGTCTTCAGACAAGTGTGCCATTTATTGTTGGCCTGCAGCTCCGTATAGCCGACGACAGACCACACATCGACAAGATCTTCCTTATGGAAACACTAGCACCAGGGATCCAGTATCTCTGATATAATCTGGACAACATGTGATTCTTGCCTCCATGACCGAACCTCTTGATGAATGTGTCGCAGAATGAGGTCAGTAATATGAAGATCTTTAGTTAGCATGGCAGGATGCTTGGACTCTTCGGACATGACAGCCTTACTAAGTCGTCCTCCAACTCTCAATATCCACCATCATCCAGTACAGGATTCAGCTTGTATATGTCTCTTTTCACACACTCTCCCCTTTGGAGGCTTGAGAACTCTTCTGAGAATCTTCTTCTGACAGAATTTTATTACCTGCATCTCGGCTTCCTTGATCTCTCCCACTGAGAGATAATCACGACAGAGCTTGTTTTTGAAGTTGTGCGGCTCACTGTGGACCGCACCTTCCTTCTGAATTGTATCTGACGCAGACTGAGCAGGACATGCAGTATCTTCTTTCCTTTTCCTGAGACTCATGAGCAAACCCTTGAGCCTTAGGATCCAGCCAATCACTCTTGTGAGACGTGTCCAAGATGAGGTGCGATTGATCAAACATGTCACGGGTCGTCTTCACCTTGGGCTGCACACACTTCAATAGCAGCTGATACCTTAACCTCAGGGTCTCCATCCGGCAGTTCTTGCAAGTTGTCTGGGTTGACGGGCCAATCCTCTTCTGGCTGCATAAGAAATGAAGGACCAGATGTCCACACTTCATTCCTCAGAAATGGCTCGGGCCCTGATCCCTGAGGAGGCCACGTCCGCTGGATTTATCCTGCAGGAAAACTTGACAACAAATATGACAACAAAAAACTTGACAACAAAAACAATTGACAACAAATATGTGCAAAATTACAGGTTTGTGCATGATACGAAATGAAGTAATATTTGTGTCAGTGGGGGAAACCCGGGCCTTGTTGATGAGGCTGCAGATAGGAAGAAGCTGTTTGTGGCGAGAGGTTTTGATCCTGATGAACCGCAGCCTCCTGCCAGAGGGGAGAGTCTGAAACAGTTTGTGTCCGGGGTGGGAGGAGTCAGCTGCAATCTTTCCTGCTCGCCTCAGAGTCCTGGAGGAGTACAGGTCCAGAAGAGATGGAAGATTGCAGCCAATCACCTTCTCTGCAGAGTGAATGATGTGCTGCAGCCTGCCCTTGTCCCTGGCAGTGGCAGCAGCGTACCAGATGGTGATGGAGGAGGTGAGGATGGACTCAATGATGGCGGTGTAGAAGTGCACCATCATTGTCTTTGGCAGGCTGAACTTCACTTAGTAAACCGCCTCCTATATGAGCCAGTTCCGAAATCGCCTGAGCCAGGAAGCAATGCGAAATAAAACTTTGCATTAGGAAAGAAGGGGGGACAAAACATAGATTTTGAAATGAAACATGTATAATGCCTCCTCTGCCTATCAGGTGATTAACCTCGCCACAAATCCACACAAGTTAACAGCTGGATCATCTTATTCTCTGGCTAATTTGCAGGAGAATAAATAATAACAATAATCTCACTCTCGCCTGCGCCCCTTAACGTTAGTTAAGCGAGTATGCCCAGGGCTAACGACGCCGCTGGTGATGGAGGTGATGTTCAGCTCCTACTTGAGCTTCCAGTGATCCAGTGTCTGCACTCTGTTTCTATACTGAGTCTGTTTATAGTTTTTTTCTTATATACAGACATACATACATGTCGTATCTGATCTGCTGGAACTAACATCACTTGAAGGTTGTGAATTATAGCTTCATTTAGACTTTGCTATTCTAGTCTCAGCAGTTTCTGAGCTTTTTCATATGAAGGACTGTTCTGTCCATTTTCACATACAATATCTCTAATTATTGTTTGATTTGAGAGGATGTGAAGGGAGGCCATCCTCCCTCTTAAAGACCAAACAGAACACCCCCCTCTCCATCGTCATTAAAAGGTGTGACTTTACATTGTTTAGTTCCATCAATGAATGTCTCTTCGTGTGTTTAGCTACATTAGAACTGAGTTTGATTTAGAACTGAGTTTGATTTAGAAACGGTAAGGAAGCTCTGTCTCTCTGGTAGGATTTAATGGACTGGTCTATAAACTGGAACACTACTTTAGTGATGTTCACTGTTAGAGAGCGTTCTAAAGCTTTTTCCCATTGTTCTCCTTTTCCATCTGGTCACCTTAAGATGTCAGTGTGTTTCCTTTCTGCAACATTTCACATCAGTCACATTAAAGTCAAGACACGCAGAGGAAACACAGCACACATTTAAACTGTGGTTCTTATTAAACTTGCAACCACAGTCTTTGTGTATTTATCAGCTGGTTTCCTCAGACAGCAGCTCATTACACAGTCAGCTGCTGGGACGCCTCCAGGTTCATTCTGCCAGAATTAGAGCTCAAAACTATTAGCTAAACTATTATGAAATTATAATTATACTACCTTTAGTACTAATTATAATATGAATGCAACAGGAGCCATTAAATTAATTCAATGAGAGATGAAAAGCAGATGGAGTGACATAAGATAACAAAATACACAGACAAGCGCCAGACTGAGGGAAATACAGTGGAGAACAGTTACAACAGGGATTTTACAGGTAATTGAACATTATGTTAAAATAAAGTTTAACTAATACAAATCACAGCCCCCTGCAATCAAATATGCTGTCATATATATTGTTTACGTAACAGTCATGATTTGGCAGACACTTTTGTTTGAAACTGCAGTTTGCAGTTCATTATGTTGCTCAAGGACTCGTCAACATGTGGACAGGAGGAGCTCAAGTATCAAACCTTGTGATCAGTGGCTGACCAGCTGAGCCGCAGCCGCTCATGTTAATGTGCTTTGTGATTAAAAAGAAATGTTTAAGTGTCAGATGTTATTATACTTTAAGTTTTATATTTCTGTCATCACAGACTTTCTGGCTGTGGACTCTCAGAGACTCACTGTGAAGTTGTGGCCTCAGCTCTGAAGTCCAACCCCTCCCATCTGAGAGAGCTCTACCTGAGTAACAACAAGCTGCAGGATTCGGGAGTGAAGCTGTTGTCTGCTGGACTGGAGAGTCCACACTGTAGACTGGAGACTCTGAGGTCAGGTGTTTTTTATTCTTTTTTTTTTCCTTTAGTGGTTTAGTCCATTGACTGTGGCAGAGCAATGTTGAGCTCCACATTTAAAATCTTATTACAACAAGAAACACTCGGTAGTTCACTTTGAACCTCTTAAAGTATTGGTTATTGTTAGGTTTAGTGGAAGATTATTGCTTGGGTTAAAATAAGTATGTTAGGTATGTCACATGACTTAAGTTGTGTAATTACAGAAATACACTTTTTTTGCTGGCGGCCTTTTGCCTGTAAACAAGAGATCATTTCATCCCTCAGCTAGATGAGGTGAACGTTTCATCATAAGTCCCTGTGAGAAAAGACAGTAAAATTTGTCTCAAATAGCTTTCAGCCCCAATTACACCTGTCCTCACAGGACTACACTTTTAGATGACGTGTAGACACATAACTATTATTAGTATAAGGGTTGATCCCAAATAGTTGAAGATTCGATGCTTCGAATGGGCAGAGCCTGATTCGACTGTCAATCTCACAGTCGAAGCTTCGCAGCAAAACAAGGATCATACTGTTTTGGCGATATGGGGGTGCTCAATGTCTGATTTTACGTAGAACTACCATTTTACTCCCAATAAGTTAATATACAGCCTATTACAATATACATTTCAGCGTTTAATGTTGTAAATAAACGTGTAAAAAGAATAAAACTTTCAATAAATGTTTTTGAAGTGCGTGAATAAATTCAAACTTGTAACCCTAACCCTGGGGCGTCAGTGCGCATGTTTAAGCGTAGCGTGGATGTGTGAAGTGGCAGATGAGAACTTGCTGAAGAGACGGAGCCCCGGCTTCACTGTTGTTGTGCCGAGTTGTCCGCACCTCACAGGAATTTCGGATAATTTATCACCGTTGATTAACCACACAAAGAATTTATTGTTTTTAAACAGCCGGTTACTTGAAATAGACCCACGAGGAACCGCGACCGTGCGTGAGAGAGAAGGGTCTTCAAAAAGCCTCAGTTTAGCTGGAAATTGATAGTGTAAGTTGAATGAAAAGAGACTGCGGAGCTGCCATGTGTAACCCCCGCACTCGCAATCGCCACGCACTAAAAAATGCATGATTCCAACTATCAGTCTACTATAGGCATGACCTTACGATTCTGATTCGACTATGTAAATCCTTAGTCGGGGACAGTCCTAATTACTATATGAAAACATGAAGTACAGCAGATCGGTGCTGAATGCTCTGGTTGATATTACAACCTAATAATTTGATGTCAGCAGCTGTTTGACCTACTGACCTTTTTCTAAGCCACGCCCCCGAATACGCAGCTGGCCAATCACAGCGCAGTATAGGTCTCGCTCTAACAGCGGTCCGACACTTTCATGGCTGTGCTCCATTGACTCCTGAGCAAAAGGAGTCGTTTTCTATCTTTATTTTGCTATATTTTTCAAGATCTGGTCAAATGCTATTCCTGGGACCCTTATAATAGATACAGTGGCTACCCAGAGAGGTTGAAGGGAAACTAGTATTTATTCCCTTTCCAAAACCTAAAATAAATCCAGAAAAAATTAGGCTTTGGATTGTTCCTAATATAAAGTTAGTTAGGTAATTTTAGCTAACTTACTACTGGATGTAACGTAATATAAATCTACTGATCTGGTTTGTAATAGTGAACAGAGACCTCCCCAGCTTTACAGGAACAATGTTGATCCTTAATATCGTTGTCTTTTGTCTCAGTCGTCAGGTGACAACCTTCAAATGTATAATGCAAACCTTTCTGACTCTTTTCTGAGAACCCTTACAGCTTCTATAATGTTTAGACACCCTGATGGAGCTCAGGATTTATCAGGAGGACTTCACTCCAGTTTCACTGGATGAACCTGGACTGTGTGTGAGACCTTTGGATGTGTGGAAGAACACGGAACATGAATTAACATCAGATCCTGACCGACCGAGATTTAAATATTAAGTTATGCTGCTGTGCCTCGTGCTTAAATGCACCCAGAGTCTCTCTTAATGGAGATTCTCTTCACCCTGTTTCACCCAGCAGTTATTTACAGTGTTCATTTTTATGATCCTGCTGCCCATTCACACATCACACTCAACAATAGCAACTTCAGTGATATCAAAGTGAAATGACATTAAGGAATGCTGTTAGAACAGTGCTTTATGAGGAGATTGATTTCCGGGTCACAGGCAGGAGGATGGAGAATCGAGGAGGCACACATTAGGGAAATGAGAAAGGCCCAGAGACACACAAGTGAGGAGAAAAACCCGGGAAAACACAGCAGAAATACAGAGACCAGCTAGAGTCAGATTCAAGACAGAAAGTAACAAAAGTACGAACATGTCTGATTTGATCTTTATTCTAGACTGGCCTGAGATCAGCAGCATGGTATTGATCGGTGTTGACATGAATAGTATATGAATGTAACACAATGACAAAGTCCCTCTACTCATTTTCGGGAAAAGCTCATTGATTAGGACATAGTAATGTTGAGCTCCACATTTAAAACCTGAACACATCTGATTGGATTTGAAATGGATTTTCTTATCTCCATATTTTTTTCTTTATTCAGATTGAGTCGCTGCAGTTTGTCAGAGATCAGCTGTGCTTCTCTGGTCTCAGCTCTGAAGTCCAACCCCTCCCATCTGAGAGAGCTGGTGCTGAGTGACAACAAGCTGCAGGATTCAGGGGTGAAGCTGCTGTGTGGTTTTCTGGAGAGTCCACACTGCAGACTGGAGACTCTGAGGTCAGACCCCATATTTTCCTTCTGTTCTGAGATTAATATGATGTGAAAGTTGTGGTGTCACTAAAGTGAAGACATAAGGCTGATATTATACTGATCCACACTGAGGATCTTAATACTAAAGTCTATTTTCTTATTCAGTGGTTTAGTCCATTGACTGTGGAAGAACAATGTTGAGCTCCACATTTAAAAGCTTAAAGAGAAACTTTTCTGATTTGAATCCAGCTTTGTATCATTACAATGGGGGGTAATAAATGCAAATGAGCATGTTTCCTGCACCCAGAGCTCCCCGCTCATTTGCTGGCTTCTATTAGAAGTAATAAGAGAAGTGACATTTGGAAAACTGAACGAGCACACGTGTTATTTAGCACGAGAGCCGACAGCCAGACGGAGTCGGGACAGACAGCTGACTGCAGAAATCACGGATTTTGTGGATTTTCCCAGATGGAAGGATAACGTTAACGTTAATGTGGGACAGATGTTTTCAAAGCGGTGCTGAAGTCGGTTTTCTGCTGGACAGGTAATTAACTTTGCAAACTGTTGTTTGATAGCTTTAGCTAGAAGCTGGCCATAATCACAGAGAGCCATGTTTCCCCTGTCAGTGGTGTGAAATATGGATTAATTTCATACTTATTCTCCAGCCTGTGATTTGGCTTTGCCGGTTACTTAGCGAGACAATCAGCTGATCAGTAACGTTAATTGGCAATAAAACCGTAACATTAGCTTAGGCAGCCTACACAATATACACACAGAGGTACAGACAGTAAAGGTGATGTTGCTATAGACTAAATGAAAAATGGTACAGATATATACAGTAATGTTTATGATAATAATCGTAATGTTAATAACAATAATAACAATAGGACTAGTAACAATAATTTTAGCAGAGGGTGTCGAGCAGGAACACGGGGGCAGCAGGTGACTCGCAACCACAGATCCAGACTCCACAGCTCCAGAGCCAGAAACACCTGCAGGAAGTGATAGGAGAGAGGAGAGGGACGAGAAAGCACAAGACTACCGGAAAGGGGAGAAGTTGAGTTAGTAACATGCAATAATGTGATGAGGTTGCATACAGAGGGAGAGAAAGTAGAGGAGAGAGGAGCTCAGTGCATCATGGGAAATCCCCCAGCAGTCTAGGCCTATAGCAGCATAACTAAGGGATGGTTCAGGACTACCTGAGCCAGCCCTAACTATAAGCTTTATCAAAGAGGAAAGTCTTAAGCCTACTCTTAAATGTGGAGATGGTGTCTGCCTCCTGAACCCAAACTGGAACCTGGTTCCACAGGAGAGGAGCTTGATAGCTGAACGCTCTGGCTCCTAGTCTACTTTTGGAGACTGTAGGAACCACAAGTAACCCTGCATTCTGGGAGCGCAGTGCTCTGGTGGGGTAGTAAGGTACTATGAGCTCTTTAAGATAAGATGGTGCCTGACCATTAAGAGCTTTGTAGGTAAGAAGAATGATTTGAAATTCTATTCTGAATTTTACTGGAAGCCAATTCAGCGAAGCTAAGACAGGAGAAATATGATCTCTTTTCCTGGTTCCTGTCAGAACACGTGCTACAGCATTCTGGATCAGCTGAAGAGTCTTAACGGACTTTTTCGAGCAGCCTGATAATAGGGAATTGCAGTAATCCAGCCTAGAAGTAACAAATGCATGGACTAGTTTTTTTGCATCATTTTTAGACAGGATGTTCCTGATTTTTGCAATATTATGTAGGTGAGACTTAAACGACATGTCCTGATCAAAGATAACTCCAAGATTCCTCACACTGGTGCTGGAGGCCAGGGCGATGCCATCAAGGGAAACTATATCTTTAGATAATGCGTCACAGAGGTGTTTGGGCCCCAGAACAATAACTTCAGTTTTATCTGAGTTTAACATTAGAAAATTACAGGTCATCCAGGTTTTAACATCCTGAAGGCACATTTGAAGTTTAGCTAACTGATTAGTTTCATCTGGCTTGATCGATAGATATAACTGAGTATCATCTGCATAACAATGAACGTTTATGGAATGTTTCCTGATAATATTGCCTAAAGGAAGCATATATAAAGTGAACAGGACTGGTCCGAGGACAGATCCTTGTGGAACTCCATGACTAATTTGGCATGCATGGAGGACTCATCGTTAACATGTACAAACTGAAATCGATCTGATAAATAGGACTAAATAGGACCATCTTAGAGCGGTTCCTTTAATGCCAATGAAATGTTCCAGTCTCTGTTATAGGATCTGATGGTCAATGGTATCAAATGCAGCACTAAGATCTTATAAAACCAGTACAGAGACAAGTCCTTTGTCTGATACAATTAGGTCATTAGTTATTTTCACCAGTGCTGTCTCTGTGCTATGATGAACTCTAAATCCTGACTGAAAATCGTCAAATAAATTATTGCTATTTAGAAAGTCACACAGCTGTTTAGCAACTGCTTTCTCCAGGACCTTAGAGAGAAATGGAAGGTTAGATATAGGTCTATAGTTGGCTAAAACATCTGGATCAAGTTTGGGCTTTTTCAGAAGAGGTTTAATTACAGCTACTTTAAAGTACTGTGGTACATAGCCTGTTGGTAAAGATAGATTGATCATATCTAGTATAGAAGTGCTAACTAGGGGTAAAACTTCTTTAAGCAGCCTAGTCGGGATGGGGTCTAAGAGGCAGGTTGATGGTTTAGATGAAGAAATTATTGAAGTTAGTTGGTAAAGATTGAGGGAAGCAAAACAGTCCAAACATATATGCAGTTTTATAGCCGTTTCTAAGGTTCCTGAGTTGAGAGATAATTCGGTGCCAGTTGAGGGCAGGTCTTGGTGAATTTTGTTTCTAATGGTTAGAATTTTATCATTACAGAAGCTCATGAAGTCGTAACTACTGAGAGCTATGGGAATACTTGGCTCAATAGAGCTGTGACTCTCTGTCAGCCTGGCTACAGTGCTGAAAAGAAACCTGGGGTTGTTCCTATTTTCCTCTATTAATGACGAGTAGTACGCTGCTCTGGCATTACGGAGGGCCTTCCTATAAGTTTTAAGACTATCTTGCCAAATTAAACGAGAATTTTCCACTTTGGTGGAACGCCAATTCCACCAAAATTCCAAAGTTTCCACAATATTTGCCCTTAATTTGCGAGTTTCAGTATTATACCATGGAGCTAACCGTCTTTGTTTTAGTATTTTCTTTTTTAGAGGGGCTACAGAGTCGAGTATTATTCACAGTGAGCCTGCAGCACTATCAACAAGATGATTGATTTGGGAGGGACTGATATTAGCATAGGAGTCCTCTGTTACTTTGTGACTTGATAATGAATTTAGAGCTGATGGAATCGCATCCTTAAATTTAGCTATGGCACTATCAGACAGACATCTTGTATAGAAATTTTTGCCCAATGGCGAGTAGTTCAGCAATACAAACTCAAAAGTTATCAAACAGTGGTCAGATAAAGAGGGATTCTGTGGGAACACCACTAAATGTTCAATTTCAATACCATATACCAGAACAAGGTCGAGGGTGTGGTTAAAACAGTGAGTCGGTTCATGAACACTCTGAGAGAAGCCAATGGAATCTAACAGAGAGATAAACGCAGTACTGAAGCTGTCATTCTCAACATCCACATGAATATTAAAATCCCCTACAATAATAACTTTGTCCGTTTTAAGGACTAAAGTTGACAAAAGACTCTGCAAATTCAGATAGGAATTTAACACATCTATCTAAAGAATCCTAATTTCTTGAATGGCAATCTCTTATCTCATAGATGACATCTTTGTCCTGTCTCAGGTACTATAGCTACAGTGCTCGCCTGGGTAGGGGAGGTGGGGGTGCAATTCGCAACCCTCACCACTAGATGTCCCTAGAACTTACACACTGAACCTTTAAATAAATGATAATAAAATACAGAAATACAATGAATAAATAAATTAGCTCTATTTCAGCTATGAGACAATAAAAAATATATTCAGTATTTGCTTTTTCCAACATTGTTATGAAGCTATGTGATGCTTATACTGACTGAATAGTTTAAAGTGAAGAAGCTTTGATTTGAGGACTGAACTATTCCTAAAATAAATATTATAGTCTCTTTTTCACATTTCCCCAAAGTTCATTGCGACATCTTTGGAAACTTTGGGATCTTGAGTGGAATCTTAAATCAGTTTCTGTGGGTTTTTCTTTGTGTTTGGCTGCACAACATGAGTTTGGATAGATGGAGCCACTGGTGGAGCTGCAGAGTTTAAGAGGTGAAGTCACTCCATCTTTATGTAGCAGCACGTTGTCATTAATATTAATGAGAGCTCTTTTTACCTTATTGTATTTTACACTCTGAACCTGCATCTTTGTTGGGTTCAGGTGTTTGGAGTTTCCATTTTCTAAACTTCTACATTCTAAACCTTCTTCAGCTCTGAACAGATTATTAAACACTGAGTGATTTCAAGCAGGAACATTGCCTTCTAAAAGTAACATTATTTATTCTTTATTCAGATTGAGGGGCTGCAGTTTGTCAGAGATCAGCTGTGCTTCTCTGGTCTCAGCTCTGAAGTCCAACCCCTCCCATCTGAGAGAGCTGGAGCTGAGTGACAACAAGCTGCAGGATTCAGAAGTGAAGCTGCTGTGTGGTTTTCTGGGGAGTGCAGACTGGAGACTCTGAGGTTACTATTGTAGATTTGATATGTTCAATTAACAATTGAAGCTAATTTCTGTTCATACATAACTTCCATCCATAAAGCTATAAATGTCCTTTTGTTCATATTTTCATGTTTCTTGTACTAAATTTAGTCTGCAGTCACAAAAGAAACTGTAGAAAATGTCCGCTGTTAGTCGTTAAAGTAAATGAATGTTTCAAATTTTTGGTAAATGGTCACATCTGTATATAGAAGATCCTCTGAACTAATATTTGTTTAAAACTGTTCAAGTTTACTTGTTGAAGTAGAAATATTTCTTTGCTTTCTGTTGGTTTCAATGTGTTTTCACAAATAATGTCTGATCAATGATATTGATCCTTCAGAACACACACACAGACACACAACACACAGGCCTGAGATCAGCAGCATGTTATTGATCTGTGTTGACATGAATAGGTGTATGAATGTTGTGCTGATATTTGGATGATGTCTGTAGAAGGCTGACATTATGATGATCCACAATAACACAATGACAAAGTCCCTCTACTCATTTTAGGGAAAAGCTCATTGATTAGGACATAGTAATGTTGAGCTCCACATTTAAAACCTGAACACATCTGATTGGATTAGAAATGGATTTTTATCTCCATCATTTATTCTTTATTCAGATTGAGGGGCTGCAGGTTGTCAGAGATCAGCTGTGCTTCTCTGGTCTCAGCTCTGAAGTCCAACCCCTCCCATCTGAGAGAGCTGGACCTGAGTGAAAACTACCTGCAGGATTCAGGAGTGAAGCTGCTGTGTGGTTTTCTGGAGAGTCCACACTGCAGACTGGAGGCTCTGAGGTCAGACACCATGTTTTCCTTCTGTTCTGAGATTAATATGATGTGAAAGTTGTGGTGCCAATCCAGTGCAGACATAAGGGTGATATTATACTGATCCACACTGAGGATCTTAATGCTAAAGTCTATTTTCTTCTTTTGTGGTTTAGTCCACCCTGGTTGCGTTTATGTGTGTGTTCTCCTCTGGTGCTCCATCTTCATCCCACCGTCCAATCACATGCAGGCTAGATTAACTGGTGATTCTAAATTGTCCTTAGGTGTGAGTGCTTGTTTGTATATGTGTGGCCCTACGTTGGGCTGCTGACCTGTCCATGGTGGACCCCGCCTTTTGCCCGATGTTGGCTGGTACACAGGATAAGTGGATGACGACGAGTCAGTGATGAGTTCCTCTGGGGCCACAGTCCTCCTTTTCAGCTGCCCTGTGGCAAGATAAGAGCAGCCTTGGATAATGGAACGCTCACAGCAGGATCCTCTTTGTGGACTTGAGCTCTTCTTTTAACACCATCCAAATGCATCTGATGATCCAGAAGCTACACCATCTCTACAATGGGCCTTAATGAACTGGCCTGAGTGTACTGTTGTCTTTGTGTGTCGTCACTGTGAGCTGTTGTCTGATGTGTTCAGTGCTGTGAAAAGGAACTGTCTGAAGATACATCATTTATTCTTTATTCAGATTGTGGAGATGCAATTTATCAGAGATCAGCTGTGCTTCTCTGGCCTCAGCTCTGAAGTCCAACCCCTCCCATCTGAGACAGCTGGAGCTGAGAGAAAAAAACCTGCAGGATTCAGGAGTGAAGCTGCTGTGTGGTTTTCTGGAGAGTCCACACTGCAGACTGGAGACTCTGAGGTCAGTTCACTGACTCTGTTACTATTGTAAATCTGATATGTGTCATTAGGGGTCCAATCTCAAGGGTGCTGGGCCTAGTAATGAAATGAAAATGACAGGGCCCTGTATTTTGGCCCTAAACCGTTCAGTGTTTTATAAAACCATCAGCAGGATTTTAAAATCAGCTCTCTGACAGGAAGTCAGTGTAAAGACCTCAGAACTGGACTGATGTGATCCACTTTGTTGGTCTTAATGAGGACTCGAGCAGCAGCGTTCTGAATCAGCTGCAGCTGTCTGATCAAAAAAGAATTATTAATGCATGTATCTGCAGAATCTGCAAATTTATCTTAAAAAGAAACCGCTTGGGTCTGAGCGGTGAAAAGAGGAGTTAACACAATAACATTTTATTAATCATTTACTAAACTTCCATGTTCTGAGGGATGATCAAGTGGTGGAATCTGTATTTGGCTGGAGCCTACATTACATTTAAAATATATTTGTTCATCTTTAATCTGACAGGGACAAAACACAGGGGCCAGCAAGTGAAGTAGAAAAATATAAAGATTGATAAACTATAGACAAAGAGACACGACTGTAAGCTCCCAATCTGACCCAGCAGTGATGTGTTTGCTGATTTGCACTTGAAAAGACGATGAGGTTAAAATACAGCAGCAGCATTCTTCATTTCAGCTACAGACGTGGACAAAACTGTTGGTACCCTGTTTGGTACCCTTCTGTTAAAGAAAGAAAAACACACAATGGTTCCCAAAATAACTTGAAACTGATTAAATTAATAATGAATAAAAATGTACTTGTTACGTTCCTCCGGATGGTAAGTCCAGGGGGAGGAGGAGTAAGAATTTTTGAAATAAAAACCGGGGCAAAAGAGGAAGTCAGGGTTATGTGCAAACTAAGGTGTATTTATTCAATATTCAACAAAGAAAAACCAACTCAAAACTACTCTCTCAAAAGGAGACAGCGAGCCAACAAGGTATGGCAACAATAACACTGGGTAAGTAACTGAGGGAGCAAGATTTAAAACTAAATGAACCGCTGAAAAGTCCTCTCTCCACTGAGGAGGTGACCAGACGCTGTTCTGGAGTCACGGAAGCTCTACGCTGGTGTTCAACCCACTGGCTGAATGGTAGCGATGTGTCCGTCTGTATCGAGGCTTCGAAGCGTGTGTCGAGTAATACAGGATGATTTTTGTGAAGCGCGTATCGAGGCTTGTGTTGATGACGTATTTGGTGATGTTCGAAGCCTCGCGAGCCGGCCGTACGTGACTGATTCAGGAGACGTTTTGCGGGTTTGGCGTGTGATCCGAAAGGAGCAGCAAAATGCAACGGACCCTCTTCAACATTTTGTGGACTTTTGAACTTTTTTTTTGAACAGAATTGCTTTGATCAAATAACTTTAAAAAATGTGATGAAACAGAGGAAAAGAAAGTGTTGACATTTTGTGGCTTTGGTAAGAATTAAACTCTTACCCCATATTACCCTAATAATAATTTTCTAAAGCAGGTAAAATCATCTCCAAAAAAGAAACCGCCTGAAGCACTGTGGAAGGGTTATTTTTAAATGAAGATGAATAAAATGTTCTCTATTATCTAAAGTCACAAACCAAGTTATCATAACCCTCTCCCTTGTTTCCACTTTCCTTCTGACCCTGTCATTGTATCATAAAGACAGACACCTTATTAAAAAGCCAATCAGTCATGTATTGGCATCAAACATCATTCATTAATTTATTCAATTCAAAGCTTCACACATCAAAGCTGTGTTGCCGTTATAATGACTCTGCCTGTTTTACATTTATTGTCCACTTGATGGCACACTAGAGCAAAGGAAGCACCGTGAAGCTTCGGCCCATGAGTGAACCCATTGGATGGAAAGCTTCAATGCTTCATAAAGCATCATCTCACTACTGAATGGGCTGCCTCTGTCCACTGGGCTGACGGGCTGGCAGTGGTCTGCTCACGGGTGTTGGTCTGTAGTGTGGTCGCAACAGGTACAAAGGGAAACAGACCAACTGTTGTGAAAAAACCAAGCCTTCTTGTGCTCCAGGCACTGAGTGGTGATCAGGCACACCTGCTGCCACTCACTCATGCAGCCGAGGCATGTGGGGAAGGGCCACTACCTGAGAGGGAGAACACACAACCCAACCCAAACACACGACCCTGGGGTCGTAACAGTACTGAAATTCAACTAATGAAATTAAGACATTGCTTTTGAGTTGTGGTTCAACAGAATCATTTAAAAAAACAAACTAATGAAGCTGGCCTGGACAAAAATGATGGAACCCTGAACTTAATATTTTGTTGCACAACCTTTTGAGGTAGTCACTGCAATCAGTCGATTTCAGTAACTCTCAGTGAGACTTCTGCACTCGTCAGCAGGTATTTTGGCCCTCTGTTATTGATCTGTGTTGACATGAATAGGTGTATGAATGTTGTGCTGACATTTGGATGATGTCTGTAGAAGGCTGACATTATGATGATCCACAATAACACAATGACAAAGTCCCTCTACTCATTTTAGGGAAAAGCTCATTGATTAGGACATAGTAATGTTGAGCTCCACATTTAAAACCTGAACACATCTGATTGGATAAGAAATGGATTTTTATCTCCATCATTTATTCTTTATTCAGATTGAAGGGCTGCAGGTTGTCAGAGATCAGCTGTGCTTCTCTGGCCTCAGCTCTGAAGTCCAACCCCTCCCATCTGACACTGCTGGACCTGGGTGACAACAAGCTGCAGGATTCAGGAGTGAAGCTGCTGTGTGGTTTTCTGGAGAGTCCACACTGCAGACTGGAGACTCTGAGGTCAGTTCACTGACTGTTACTATTGTAGATCTGATATGTTTAATTAACAATTGAACCTAATTTCTGTTCATACATAACTTCCATCCATAATGTTGTAAATTTTTTTGTTCATATTTTCATGTTTCTTGTACTAAATTTAGTCTGCAGTCACAAAGACACAAAGAAACTGTAGAAAATGTCCGCTGTTAGTCGTTAAAGTAAATGACACCATTTTTTCCTTCTGTGCTGAGATTAAAATGATGTGAAAGTTGTGGTGACACTAAAGTTCAGACATAAGGCTGATATTATACATTATAAACCTTCAGCTCTGAACAGATTAGAAGACAATGTTCCTGCTTCAAATCATTCAGTGTTTAATAAAGTTACATCATTTATTCTTTATTCAGATTGAGGGGCTGCAGTTTGTCAGAGATCAGCTGTGCTTCTCTGGCCTCAGCTCTGAAGTCCAACCCCTCCCATCTGAGAGAGCTGGTGCTAAATAACAACAACCTGCAGGATTCAGGAGTGAAGCTGCTGTCTGATCTGAAGAAGAGTCCACAGTGCAGACTGGAGACTCTGAGGTCAGTAGAGGGTTGGAGTCAGTCCATGCTGGTTTCAGCAGTATTGTACTAAACACAGTTAGTATCAAAGCATAGATCAAGTATTTCCTGTAAACCTCCAACCTTCTCAGCGGCTGCTTTCCTCAGTGAAGCTGTGAGAGGAGAATGGTGACAGGCTTCAGGATTGGACAGAAAGACAGAGAGAGAGAGAGAGAACAGGCAGTGATCATGTGTTTGAGTTGATGTGAAGACAACTGTTGTTGTTGTTGTTGTGTTCATGTCTCCAGGAAATAAAGCTGGATTCCAGCTGACAGCATCACAAGATGTATAGAGACAGTGGTCCTCATTCATCAAACTGACAGCTGATGAAGGGAGTCTCTGTAAACTGATTTATGACTTCTGCTGTCTGTCTTCTTCTCTCAGAGTGTGAGGGGTCAGAAAGGTGGAGGTGTTGACAGAGGATCATCAGTGGATCTGGACTGCTCTGCTGCTGCTCTGTCCTTCTACACAGTCTCTGCAGACACACTGAGACTCCTCCACTCCTTCTGCTCCACACTCAGACACCTCCTCCACTTGGACCTGGACTTTGTTTCGTTCAGATGTTGTGGAGAGGTGGAGAACTACAGTTAATCTTTACATTATATTCCTGATTCATTTTTGAAGTTCATGTGAAAAAGCAGCATCCAGCCTGCATGCATAAAGTTCCCTCTCTGAAGTTCTGCTTCTTACCACCAACACCAGACTTTTCTCTCAGTTTAACAGATAATAGTTTGTAACACAGAAACAAGAAGATAAAACCTGTGGAAAGTTTGGATTTAACGGAAGCTTCACTGAGGTAAACTGAGACACCATTCTGAACACCTGAACATTTTAATAAATTGTTTATTTTAGTTTTTCTTGACATGAAAGTAACACACATAAACATACTAACTCTAAACCTTAGTGTCATTATTAGGGATTAAGATTATGGACATGTATGTGTTTTCTCATATTGTGACAGTTTATATTATTGTAGAATAAACATTTATGCTGATATTCAAATCAAGTTCAGAGAGCGGATAGACTCCATCAGACCTGCTGTTACATCCTGTTTTATTTTGTGTTTCCCTTTGATCATCTGATTGGCAGGCCCTTGTGCTGACTTGTGGGCTGTGTCTATATTGGTAGTCGAGTGTTCAACTCTCTCTCTGCTGCATCCAGTTTTTTGTGGTGTTTGGTATCGTTTTTTATTCATTTATTCGTATTCAAATAAACTTGCATGCAGTAAGCTCTTCTCCTGGTGTTATGTCTATTGTTATGTTTGGTGTTTGAACCGTAACACCGCAATTCAAAGGAGACAATGTTTCATTTCAGTTATTTTTTATTATCTAATATGTATTTTATAAATACAAATTCTTTATATAGCAGACATATATGTCTGCAGTCAGATTAACACCAACAAGGAAGTGTAATGTGTCCCTGAACAAAGGGGGGGCAAAATCAAAAGTAACAATCAGTTTCTGATGTGGCCCTTTTGTCACATTTAAGTGTACAGTATCTCCCAAAAGTGAGTACAGCCCTCACATATTTGTAAATATTTGATTATATCTTTTCATGTAACAACACTGAATAAATGACACTTTGTGACCAGCTCGGCGATGTCGTCATGGAGGAGTGGAAGAGGACTCCAGTGGCAACCTGTGAAGCTCTGCTGAACTCCAGGCCCAAGAGGGTTCAGGCAGTGCTGGAAAATAATGGTGACCACACAAAATATTGACACTTTGGGTCCAATGTGGACATTTTCACTTAGGGTTGTCCTCACTTTTGTTGCCAGCAGTTTAGACATTAATGGCTGTGTGATGTGTTATTTTGAGGGGACAGCAAATTTACACTGTTGTACAAGCTGTACACTCACTACTTTACACTGCAGCAAAGTGTCATTTCTTCAGTGTTGTCACATCAGACATTTACAAAAATGTGAGAGGTGGACTCACTTTGGTGAAATACTGTATATATCCTGTACATGGCAGTGATTCGAATTTTAGTTTTGTTGCTCATCTTACTGGTGCATTTATTGCACACTCTTTAAAAAGTCATATTATTTAATATAGATCATTTTATGAACTATATTAAATAACACAATTATTTTTTATTCCACTGTATCAGCCTAAATCGGTTTCACTTCTGCTGTTTGTCAGGGTCACACTGAATTTTAGAAATACTGAGCTCATATATATATATTAGTACTAGAAGCCAAGTGAAATACACAACATGTGTAAGTTTTTTTTGGTAGAAGGCAAGGGCGTCATTTTGTGTTGAAAGTGGTGGTGACATAGGGGCTCAGACTGGGGCTGTAAAGAGATGCGAGACATCACGATACACGATATCAGGTTCACAAGAACGAGAAGAAAAGATCCTTAAACAGTGTTTTAAAGATATCCTCAATGCTGAGCTATAAGAGCGGCGGTCTGGGGGGCCTCCCTCAGTAAATTTTGATCATTAAACACTTCATTTCCTGCATTCTGGTGAAAGTTTCTGCACCAATTTACGGTGGAAATGTTTTTATTTATGTAAAAGGAAACACAAGATTCAGGTGGCAGGTGACAAATCAAAATATAAATATAACAGAATCTAAATCAGTGCAGCTCTTTTTGCAGATTCTGTGCTGCTTTCAGATCTGTTTCTCCTGTAGATCAACTTTTCTCACGTAATATCGTCCTGCTGAGTCATGATTTAGTCGTCCCTCCTCTTTTGTCATGTTCACAGGGAGAGAACGGAAACTTGGCCAAGAAGAAACTGTGTCAAGAAGTTGTTAAAGTTACTGATCGGTGCTGCACGTGTTTGGGTAATTTTATAATCAGTAGCTTGTTTTGTTTTCTTAGCTCAAGTTACTTTTTTTGGGACAATGCACATGTTTCTTCTATATTTTAATTGCATTGCATGTTCCTACTGTGCGAATTTCTAAAAGCATTTTCATTAGGTATTTAACTGCAAGCTATATTTCAGAAGGTTTTTATTTTTTTTTAACAAATTCTGCTTTAAAAAAGTGATGGGGACATGTCCCCAGCGTCCCCAGCGTCCCCAGTGTAAATGACACCTATGGTAGAAACTCACACCTCAGTGTCCTCAGAGTTCCAGCCTGTACAAGTTAAAAAACAACTAAAACTAGCTAAATATAACTAAATTACTAAGTATTTCAATACATTTCCAATTGTGTGAAAATGTGAAAACTCCCAAACCTTTAAAAGTTTAATTAATATATGCTTTTATTTTGAATGTTTCAACCGGAAGTTCCTTTGTACCCGTTCCGGTTGGTTTGACATTAGATTAAACGACCGTAACTTTGCGGTAAATATGTTAAAAGTTAAAATTGAACATGTCGGAGGTGTAAACTTGACTCTCTGGTCTCTCAGCTGAGAGTGAACGCGTTACTAAAGCGTTTAAAAGCGGTAAACCGTCACGCACGCCGTCACGCAGCGGGGGCGGCAGGAGGAGGAGCCGCCGCTGCTGCGGTACAAGTGTCCGGACTCCCCGCTCACTTCCTCGCTTGCTCCCGACACTGTCGCTTCACTAGAACCAGAACATGTACCGGTGTTTCGGAGAGCTCCTCTCCCGGGGAGCCGGCAGCGTCCTCGGCTCCGGCCGCTCCGCCGCCGCGGACTCGGCTCTCCCGGCGTCCGCGTCCCTGCTGCGGTACCGCGGCTACAGCCAGGCCGTGGACCGGGCCGACGACCCGAACTTCTTCACCATGGTGGAGGGCTTCTTCGACCGGGGCGCCGCCATCGTGGAGGACAAGCTGGTGGAGGGCCTGCGGACCCGGGAGAGCGCCGAGCAGAAGAGGAAGCGGGTCCGCGGGATCCTGAAGATCATCAAGCCGTGTAACCACGTCCTGAGCGTCTGCTTCCCCATCAAGAGGGACAGCGGCGAGTGGGAGGTGGTGGAGGGCTACCGGGCCCAGCACAGCCAGCACAGGACGCCCTGCAAGGGAGGTGAGACCCGCACCTGACACGAGACAGGGAGAACATCACTATTTAGCATTGTTTTTAATGGTTTTAGTCATCTTAAAAAGCAGAAATGTCCAGATTCACTGGCTGTAGCTGCTCTGCAAAGAAATATCTGAACATTACTGTATATTTCATTAAATATCATGAGAATAAAGTGACTCAGAGGAGCTTAAAAAGATGTCAAAGTGTAAAAAACACACATCTCATGAGGAATATCATAACAGTGAATATTATAATAATGAGATTAGACTGCAGGAGGAGAGACGTGTTAAAGGCTGTAATAATGATTTCATCTGCTTCTCATGACAGTATTTATGTTCTGCCTCTAATGAATAAGGACGTTTTCTAATATTTATGAGAGACTAGAGGAAACCCAGAGAACCAGTATAGAAGTATTGATGTTTATTATTAGAGTCTTTAATCAGCATTAAACTCGGCTTTGCTCTCATTATAATCTGGATATCTTTGGGTTCTGGACTCTGATGTGTTGCAGAGGTGTGTGTGGAGTCCGTCTGAAGGGGATTCAGATTCAGGTGGGAACACAAAACAAACAGGACTGATTAGATCCCAACGAGGCAAAACAAGCTCGGAGAGACGAGGACAGCAGCGTAGGAGGAGAGGAGCTTCATCACAGATTCATTTAAACTTTAGGAAATGTTACATTCATATTAACAACAGCTCCTCAGATGTCCTTAAACCGCTTGGTTTGCATATTTAATTTACTGTAAGACAAAGACAGAGCAGCAAATCCTCATGAGAAGCTGAAACCAGCAAATATTTAAGATTTCTGCATTAAGAATGATTAAAACAAAGAGTCAGTTATTTTCTAACGACTAATTAATGATGGTTTCAGCTCTTGTTTTGTGTCTAAAAACTATGAACTTTAACTTCTAATCAGTAACTCATGAGTAACCTGTGCAAAAGTCAGGTTTCCTAAATATTGTTATTGACGTCCAAAGTTTGAGGTTGGACTGAAGCGACTTGTTGTTTCAGCTCCAGACCTGAAACAAACGTGACAAGCGACAGTATCTCTCAGGCAGCTAACTAAGATCCTTAAAGGAAAGAACAGATGTCATGGTTGTGTATTTGTGTGTAAAAACATGTGGTAACCTTAATTAACCTTATTTATTTATTTGCATCCTTCCACCACAGCTGCTTTAAAGGAGCAGTAATTTAAAAGCTGCAGCAAATGATAATTTTCTGGATTCGTCGTTTTGTTTTGTTTCTGTAAAACAACAGAAAACAATCCACCAACCTAAAGATATTCATCTCACAGAAACGTTTGACATGTTTGCCTAAAAAGATAATGATTAATTTCAAAGTGTGAGACTGTGTCAGCTGAGGAGAGTGAAATTAAAGATTACTCTTCCTACCGCTTTGTTGATTTAAATTGCAATTCCACATCCTTGTGTAGTTTTAGTCAGGGTGTGTGTGTGCAGGTGACGTAATATTTGTTACTGTGCGTGTTGACGGTGTTTTAAGGTTCCTCCTCTGACAGGAATGCTGACGGTTCGGTGTGTTTTCACCCTGGCGACTTTGCTGTGATGTGCACTGAAGGTTTGTTTGCCTCGTTGTTTCCTGCCTCGTAGTGCGACCGCAGCTCGGTGTGGTCTGTTGACACGATGTTCAGACTGCAGCACAGACAGATGTGCAGGCGTCTTGAGGCCAAGAAACCATCTGACCCACTCAGAATACAGACCGACAGACAGACACCAGGTCGGCAGAGGGATTCTGCTCAGTAGGAGAGCGGCAGCAGTACGTGGTGCAGACGAGCACTCCCTAAAAACAGACAAAGAAGATTGAGCAAGATTCTGTTTGCCGAGGAGGTAGAGCAGTTAATCCCTGACCAAGCCTGGCCTGATCAACCAGGACCGTTTTAAGGGACAGACCGGTTTGGAACTAAAGTCTTAAACGTTGATGAGAGCAGTCCAGGCTGACTGAGAGTAAAGCCTGATTTATAGCCTCCTTCAGAGTCGAGTCAGCAATGTGCGTTGGTGTCCGCGTCGTTCTGCAGTTATACCGCCAAACTGCTAGCTGGAGGTGGCGTTACAGCACCCGCTGACCCAAAACCTGTGCATGGTTTTGTGCCTGTTCTCTGCAGTTTGCACTTTAAAGTGCTGACATGTGTCCTGTGTGTGAGTTAACCACGTAGAGCCGGGCGCCAGTTAAACATGTGCAGATGTTTCTGCAGGATACTTTTAGGAAAATGTTTTTCTCTCTGCTGAAGTTGTTAAATGTTCAACACGAGCAGGATAAAATGCAGTTTAAAGTAGTGATGATTTAAGTCTGGGCTGCATGTTTGCTTCACAGCTTCTGTACTAATAAAGTTGGTGACCTGGCTCTGCAACGCCGAGGCTCGCTGTAGGGACGCAGACGTTCAGAGGCCTGCTTCCCATGTTCCTCCCGTCTTTTCAGCCGGGCCTGAACTCTAAACTCAGCTCGTAGCTGTTCCCTCGACAGCAGCGGCGGGATGTTTCCAGGAAACCTTCAGGACGCTGCTCGGGGCTCAAAGTCACGCCAATTAGTCAACAGAAATGTGAGACTTGTTAATCCCATCAGACGGTGATGTTCTCCGCAGGAAGTCTGGCTGCAGATCAAACGCTGACTGCTAATCTGCTACTGATCCCAGCTGGGAGGGGAACCAGCTACACGTGTTGCAGTAGCAGTACGTGGTGCAGTACGTGGTGCAGTAGCAGTACGTGTAGCAGTACGTGGTGCAGTACGTGGTGCAGTAGCAGTACGTGTTGCAGTAGTGGATGTAGTAATACACCTTTAGTTTTGAAGCATGTACTAAAAGCTGTGGAGGGCTGAGCAGACGTCCTGTGTGTTGTCTCCTCTTGGCTGAGTAATGACTAACTGTGTTTGCTGTGCGGAGGTGACCTGCTGGACCTGCTGGACCTGCTGGACCTGCTGGACCTGCTGGACCTGCTGCTGTGGTAGTCAGTAAATATAGTAGTCCTGTTAGTGATCTGGACCTTCAGACCAGAGACCTGTGCTGCTTTTAGGTTGCTTGGTAGATTTAAAGCTCTTACGTTTGCACCCAAACCATGAAACAAACAGCCGGCGCACTGCAGGGCCCCAGTCTGCACGTGGTCACTGTGTTCTGACCCAAACCATCAGGCCCGTCCGACTTCCTGTCTGTTGTCTGAAAGTTTTATCTTTCCTCAAACAGCTGCTCGCTGTAGTTCTATTAAAGCAATGGGAGGAAAAGTGCATCTGTTTGGGACTATTTTCAGCGGCGGATGGATCCACATGTGGCGCTCCGGGCAGCAGGGCGGTGTGTGTATGTGTGTGTGTGTGTGTGTGTGTGTGTGAGGTTATGTGAGACGGCGTTTCCTCAGGTGTCTCCCACAGAGGCTGGTTTAATCATTTGTTATTCAGACTCGTTTCTACCAGCAGCAGCTTTGTCTGCCGGGCTGCACAACAACAAGCTTTTCTAAATAAATGATTGACCAGCTGTAGAGTGCACGTGTGCTGACAGATCAGGCCGCCGTCTCTCTGGTGAAACCATCCTGCTGCGGAGTCCCGCTGGTTCTCCACACCAAACTCAACTGTTAAAAACTTTTAGTCCCTGGGTCTGGTTTGAAGGAACTAAAAGGTTCCTTCAGCACACTGTTGTGTGCGTTTCCATCACGGTCTAAAGACCGAAGATCAGGCAAATTAAGCAGCTGACGGAGGCTGCAGGCCTGAACGCCTACAAATAGATGCACAGGCATCATATTTGCATCATTATCAGCTGTTCGCTTGTTTGAGAGAGGAGACCGACGTCAGCTCTGTGTAGAAACCTCCCGACTGATGAAAACTTAAAACAACAACTCAGGACCCCAGAACTAAATTTAGACCCTGGTCCCTGCGGTGGAAACGCAGTGAGTTCCTCCAAAGGTTCCTAGTTCCGGGGTTTAGTTCCTGTTGGTGGAAACGCAGCTTTTGTAAGGTTGTCTTGATGGGAAAGCTCTCACACAGACACTGGGAAGGTAAAGGGAAGAGAGACGCTGCTGTTTATATTCAACAAGTATCAGTAAGTATTTGAAACTTTCCAGATGTTGGAGTGAAACAAAGAAGTTGGTTAAATCAACCCAAATATGAGATTGTGAGAAAAAGAAGATGAAGCCGTGTACAGTTTATTCTTGGACTGTTATCCCCTTTATATAAAGGTTTTAAATAATCCATCAGGGGCCACCTGCAGACCAGATCTGACCCTCCGCCTCAATTATTTGGCCCCACAATGAAATCGGACCTGCTCCCTTTAATGGAGCTGCATCATCTCCATGTGAGCGTCTCTCAGTATAATCCAGCACAACATAACCTCCAACTGCGACGTCAGTGATGAACAGAGGTAGAATTTGCCCCCCCCCCCCCCCCCCCCCCTTCTCTGTGCTGTCTGTTTGTGGCCCCGGGGACACATCAATACGTACATAAATAAATAATTAAACAGACAAAGGAGTAGATTAATACTAGAATCTGTCTGGCACAGTATGGTATGCAGCCTCTGACACTCAGGACGGGTATTAAACTCTCTAAATATGAAGCAGGATGTACGGCTCCTGTGAGGGTGGAGTACTTAATACTTGTCTTGGTGCACAGAGTGAGCTGAGTGTCTGTGGGCAGGTCATTAAACGTTACCTGACACACACGTCGTGGCTGGAACTGTGTTGTGTCTTTGTTTCCTCTCTGCAGAGCCGCTCAGGAGTTATTCAGAGTTTCAAAAAGCTGTTATGATGACCACACCCTGACTGAGTCACCCGTCCTTTCTCTCTTTCTCCGCTGACTTCTCAGGTTACTATTTTCTCCTTCTCTTTTCTTCTTCCTCTTTTCTCCTCTCTCGCTCCTGTGGACAGTTTTTACTTCTCGCTGCAGCTCTCAGACTCTGAACGCCACGTCTCAAAGGCCGTGTAGTGATGAAACGAAGAAGCGTCGGTCTGTCTGAGCTGCAGCGGCGAGCAGGCCTGCATGTGTTGGCTTCACTCCAGACACTCTCACGCAGCCCGTTTCAGCAGCAGCAGAGGGAACTCACTTTAACACACCCGCAGAAATACTTTCCAAACGTTTCCACATGTTTTACAACGGGGGGAATGCGGACGGGCCAACGAGACGAGTCTTAAGACAACATGCGAACGCGTACAGTAACATCACCCCCGTTGTACTGAACAGCCAGCCTGCGGAAGTAGTGGAGTGTTGTTCAGAGAGCCGACCAGCTGCTGTTTTTAATTAGAAGCTGAGGAGCTTCAGGGTCAGTCGACACGTACTTGAGATGGCATTCAGGGGCCCGGGGAAAGCATTTTACAGCTTGGGACAGAAACAAGCTTTCCAAAAGTTTTAATATTGCAGAGAAGATGATTGGCAAGTTACAAAAGCAGCTCGGTGACGTATTTGACAGTGCTTAGGAAGGCCAGACAGATATCTGTAGGCGCCCACTAAACTCCGTCTGGCTGTCGATTCAGGGACCCGGGACAAATATAAGATCTTTTATTCCCCGTCAGACCTCGTTCCCTCCCGCTGCTGCTGCTGTTTTCCGCTCACGGTACAGTTGTTGTGTTTAATGGTGGCGCTGTGTTGTACTCTTCATATTTCATAACTGTGCTTTCATGGTTGTATGTTTATGTTTTGGAAAAGTCAAAGACAAATTTCCACTAAGGTGGACAATAAAGTCTAATCTAGTCAACCTGGAACAGTTGCTCTCCGTGGATAATGGATCCCAGAGGTGGGAGTTTCCACAGTGCGCTATGATCCAAGTACTGCATCCATCCAGTGTTATAAATCAGGAAGACTCCACTCAGCCTGTTAGCATGACGTCCATGTTTGGGGTTCAGATATTTGAATCTTTAAAGCTCTTCCAGTCTGTCCAATATAAACCAGAGATGCTCACAAGTCCCTGAGCTAGAGCGCGAGTCCCTGAGCTAGAGCGCGAGTCCCTGAGCTAGAGCGCGAGTCCCTGAGCTAGAGCGCGAGTCCCTGAGCTAGAGCGCGAGTCCCTGAGCTAGAGCCCGAGTCCGAGTCCCTGAGCTAGAGCCCGAGTCCGAGTCCCTGAGCTAGAGCCCGAGTCCGAGTCCCTGAGCTAGAGCCCGAGTCCCTGAGCTAGAGCCCAAGCCCCTGAGCTAGAGCCCGAGCCCCTGAGCTAGAGCCCAAGCCTCAAGTCACTTGTGGTTATAATGAATGTTGTATCACCTGCTGTGTGTAAACCAGGGAGTTTATAATACTGCAGAGCTACAAGGGATTCTGTGACTGTAACCCAGACTCTCAAACCCAGTGTAACCTTTTCTAAATTAAAACTTACATGATCAACAATAAACCTGTAGCCTCTTTGTAGCCAACGGTAATAATTAACGTGATGGCAGCAACGGGACGTAAATGATTACGTTAATCGACCACCACAAGTTTGGGAAGTAAACCAGCACTCTTTTCATATGAACAGTCGGAGTTAAACTCTTGTAGGTCGTAGTTAAAGCAAGAAGCAAGCTAACTGTAGATGCTAATGCTAAGCTAAACATGTTTACTAACCTGTTCTAGGTTTTTATTCTATTAACCCCGTCTCTGACATAAACAGCCCACAGGGACATTTCAGCATGTGAGCGGCTGCAGCTCATGAAGCTTTTTATGGTGTATTTTGTTCCTGGCTGTATGTTGATGTGTCAAGTTTTTGGTTTTAGTAACAACATCCTGCCAGGAGGTTTTCTGGTGGTGTCGAACTGGGAGGTTGGTAAACGTCTCAAACAAAAGACTGGTTACTGCGTGTCGATTATTTTCTCTGTTAGTCGATTAATTGTTTGGTCTATAAATTGGTGAAAATCAGTTTTTCCCGAAGCCGGAGATGACGTCCCCGGACGTTTTGTTTTGTCCACAACCCAAAGACATTCAGTTTACTGTCACAGAGGAGCAAAAAAACCTGAAAATATTCACATTTAAGAAGCTGGAATCAGAATTTTGCCTTTAATTTACTAAAGAAAAGACTCAAACCGACTGATCGATTATTAATATCGTTGCCAACTTATTGAACATGTGTTGCAGCTCTGTGCTCCAACACTTTGGACCTCGACAGGAACTGAGACCTGGTTCCTTACTGAAGAGTCTACTTACACAAACGTTTTGTTGTTTGCGTGTTTCAGGAATCCGTTACAGTACAGATGTGTCTATGGACGAGGTGAAAGCTCTGGCCTCGCTGATGACCTACAAATGCGCCGTCGTCGGTGAGTACACACACGGTTGTTCCTCTGTCCTCGTGGGGACGTCTCATTGACATAATGCGTTCCTGAACCCTGAAACCAAGTCTTGACCCTTAAAACGTCTGGCGTCCAGCACTTTGGAGCCCACAAATGAAAGTGACTGTTTGTTGTGGTGTTCCAGATGTGCCGTTTGGTGGAGCCAAAGCTGGAGTGAAGATCAACCCGAGGAACTACTCTGTAAGTTTCAACACGACCTTTCTGATCTCACTCGTTGTTCTCCAGTATCACGACTCGAGGGAAGTTTACCAGGTTGAACCAACGGGAGTCAAAGTGTCAAAACAAACACATAAAGGACGACGAGACAGAAAAGGCTTCGGGCCCCTTGTGATGATCCTCAGCAGGAAGTTGATAGTAAATTTATTTTTATGTTTTTAGTACACACAGTAGGGGAAAACAAAGTGAATCAAATAAATAAATATAAAGGAGAAACACAACAGCATAAATACCTCGGGAACAAGAGCAGCACACAAACCTTGAAACGCTGGCTTGTCTCTGAGCGATCGGACAGACGATAAAACAGGTTTAAACGGACACCGTTCAGACCTGCAGAAACATTTGTTATGATTGTACCAGCAGATCAGGATCATCAGCTGACACCGGGCTTCCTGCCAGGGTTTCCTGGTTCACTCTCGTTACCGGCTGCTACTGTAAACCTGCGGTTTCACCTCGAGTCTGCAGCTCACTGGTTTTTCCCTGTGATCAGTCGTTTGGGTCATTTTCTAAGAACAAAGTCTCTGGTTTCATTTGAGGGTTTTATATCTCAGTAAACTGAATATCATAAAGTTTTAGACTCTTAAGATCAGTTTCTGATGTTTGATAGAAAAAACAAATAACCAGTTTACCGATGAGTTGATTTACGAGATGAATCGATACTTTATTGATGATGATGGCATGGCGCCGAGGCCTCGTGATGAGTCGTGATACTGTCACAGTGGCCTGGTAGTCCTTCATGCTACACCCAGCATATAAATAAAATAAAACAAAAGAATCAAGTTATTTATATCCATATATTTATGAGAACTGTCGATACCACAGTAAAAAAATAAATCTGAACAACTAACAACTGTGAGAGGATGTCCGGGACAGATGAGAGGTGGTTTCATGTTAATATATTCACATTAATTACTTTATTTTCTTGGCTTTTCTATATATTAGCAGTAGTTTGAGATTTTTATGTTGAAAAACTAACGTTATTGATGATTTGAAATGGATCTTATCGACCTTTTCAGACCCGCAGTCACAGGACCGTTGGACAGACGTTCAGTTCTCAGAGCTGCAAACTGCGTCGTCACCTTTGGTGATTTTGAGTTGATCAAACGGTGAAGCGTCGGCCTGTTCGAGGAGTCGAGGCGGAGCAGTCGCTGCAGTTCTCGTGACATCCCTAATATACTGAACACAGACAGGTGCATCTCAGACAATAAGAATATAATGAAAAGGTTCTGAAATATCTCACTTGGTGTCTAATGAATCTAGAATATATGAAGGTTTTCAGATATTCTGTGTTCCTGTAAACACCCAGGAAATAATTCTGCAGTTTTTAAATGTAAACAGCAGCGTGTTCCTCTAACTGCTGATAACGCTGTGGTCTCGACCTCACCGGCCTCCCGTACGCTGACCGCCCTGTCAACCCGCTGCCGACAGGAAATGCTGAGCCATCAGCCTGCAGAGACACGCCGGGAGTCCGTGCCTCTCTCTCTCTCGCTCTGCACATGTTTGCTCGACCTTTGCGCTTTCCCATTTTTCTCTGCTGCAAAACACGTCAGCCTCCAAACGCGTGCAGCCCTGCGAGGCCTGCTGACCTCCGACCTTTCCACAGTTCCAGGAAGGAAGTTGTTCAGGACAGTGAATTTAAAAAAATGTAAAAAATAAAAAAGCCTTCAGAAAGTCTTAAATGTTGTAAATTCACTTAAATTAATCATTTATTTACTGGTTAATTCACCCATCCAGTGTCACTTATTTGGGTCCAGGTCACAATAGTGGATTAATTCTAGTGATGATAGGTTGTTGTCGGGAGGCACGTGATGTAAAGGCCCTTAATCCGAATCAGCATTACTGTCAGTAGGTTTACACATGCAGGGAATTCACTTTGGTGTTTTACACAGAAGGAAAAATAAGATAAAGAGCGAGTGCTGCAGGTCAAGAATCGAAATGTAAGATATTAAAAGAAGAATAAAGGAAAGTTCATTTCATTCATTGTTATTTAAATGACAGTTTCTGCAGTAACGTGCAGAATATTTACATTTAGATCAGTTTAATAATTGTGTACCCGTGTGAAAATGCACATTGTGTGATTGTAAGGCGTTTAAGTTTGGTGAACGCTACAGAAAGCCTGCTGCTGCTGTCGAAAGGATGAGTTTCTGTCTCCTGTCGGTGAGTTCAGAGCTGCAGTCGGGACGCGCTAACCTTAGCTTAGCAGAAAGACTGGAAACAAACAGAGTTGCAGTTTGTGGTGTGTGTTTTTTATTTTTAGGACAACGAGCTGGAGAAGATCACCAGGAGGTTCACCATCGAGCTCGCCAAGAAAGGCTTCATCGGTGAGTCACCTCTAAATCACAGGAACAGGAAGCTTATTATTAAACTCCTTCATGTTAACATGTTGCAGCTTTTATTGATTCAAGTACTGACACTTTATTTATTTATCCGTTTTATTGGATTTATTCTTCATTCATTCATTTGTGAAGAAGCAACACGCCTGACTAACTCCTCTTGTGTGATGAGCAACAGACACTTTCAGACTCGCGGTTCCGTCACCAGTTAGTCGTGTTGTTGACGTCTCTGTGGTTCTGCAGGGCCCGGCATCGACGTTCCCGCTCCGGACATGAGCACCGGGGAGAGGGAGATGTCCTGGATCGCCGACACCTTCGCCAACACCATGGGACACTATGTGAGTCTGACAGTCAGGAGAGGACAAATAAAGTCAGGTGACGAGAAGGAAGCCTGCAGCAGCTGTGCAGAAATTCAAAGTAAAAACAGCAACTTAGAGTTCAGATAAAATGTAAAACTTACACATCAAATAAAGTTGGAAACCACCGCTGCATGCATACAGGAGAGATGATAATACTTTATTTATATAGCACTTCTACAACAAAGGTACAAGTGCTTTACAGAGAAACAAGTAGAAAGTAAATAACATCCAAAAGATAAGAGATAAAACGAGATAAAGAAAATATGTAAACGCATTCCAGATAAGAAAAAAGCCATGAGCTGAAGATAAGAGATCTGAGGCCTGCTGTAACGACTTCCTGCATTACTTGGGATGCCGTTCAGACAACAACATTGCAATGTATGCTTTCTTAAACCGCCACTGAGAGACCGGAGGAAGTCCCGACTTTACACACTTTACGTTACAACGTTTTAAATGCAGGACTTGTGCTCGTATTAGTACTTAAGTGCAGGACCTGAATACAGGCACATTGTGTTCACATGGTTCCTGTCTTATACCACCTGGTCTCAGGCGCCCAACATGTATTTCCTAATAAAAAAATGACCTCAGGACCTCGTAGATAAGTCGACCTTCAGTCTGAACCAGGTAACCCTGGAAACGGCTCCAGCTCGTGCGGCTGAAGTTGGAGGCTGATCTTTGTAGATCTGGTTGAAGAATCCAGAAAGTTGACTTTTAATGCTCACTTTTGCCTTCTCAGCATGAAATAACGCTGATAGCAGGCGGGCGGGCGGGCGGCGGTCTGTGAGGACGTAACCCTGTAGTCTGTCTTTCTGCTTCACACGTGAAGTCACAGCTGTTGTTGTTGGTTATTGGCAGACTGACCCCCCCACCCTACTAACCTGGGGACCGGTGTCCAAGGTAAAGCTCCTTCTCTTTAAATCTGCAGCTTTGGGTTCAGGCTCGCTCGGGTCTTTCAGCCGGTCTGAACTGGATGGGAGTCCCTGCGTTTGTGTGTGGGAAACCCTGCTTAGGAGCGGGGCTTGTCTTGGTTTCCACTGGTGCCTGGGCTGATGAAGGAGGGTGCGGTCTTCCGTGGTCCTGGTTCAGGCTCTGCCTCCCCTGAGTTCAGACTCTACAGCGTCCCCTGATAAATCTCAGCCTGCCGACTGGGACACGTTCAGGGATCCTCGGGTTTACGAGTGACGAGCATTAAAGAGCAGTTTGATACTAGAGGAGAGTTTTTGTCCCGTCACTGCAGATAATGTTTTACTTTTTGTTAACCATAAACCTGTTCCTGTCCTAAACTCAAACGAACTCTAGTTTCTCGTCACATGTTTGAGAAAGTGAGAATTTTAAGCACGCGGCGATGCTGACAGGCTGATGTTCACCATCGTGTTCTGGAGTCTTCTGAAGTAAAAGTGTTCAGTCAGGATGAGTCCAAACGCACAACCAGTAACCAGTGTGCAGGATGTAAGAACAAGAGCAGCAGGCTATTTAGCCTCTGTGAGGCACGATAATTACACAGCTGCCTCAGGCGGACTGTTGAAACCTGGTGCTCGCTGCCCAGCTGCCCGTGACTGAACCGAGGACACATTGTTCCAGTCAAGGATAGATGGGAAACATCTGACAGAGCTTTCATCTTCACCAGAGGAGAGTTCCTTTTTATGACCGCTACATAATGAAACACTCACTCAACCATTAACCTCTTAACCCGTGGACGGGGTCACCGGAGCCAATCCCAGCCCACGTCGGCTGAAAGGTGGCGTCCACTCTGGACAGGTATACATATACACAGTCTCACACCTCAGGGAAATATATGCCGCGTTTCCACCAAAAGCACCCGGATCTGTTTTCAAGGAACTAAAAGGTTCCTTCAGCCCACTGTTGTGCGTTTCCAGACCTGCGAAGATTAGGCAGATTAACCAGCTGACGGAGGCTGCACGCCTGCACGCCGTGCAAAGAGATGCACGGCCATCATTATTTAGTAACCACGATCCATGAGCAACATTTACATTTGACTGGAATGTAATGAAAACCTACAGGCTGTGCTTGACCACATGATAAAGTTAGTAACAAACTGGATAAAACCATCCAGGTCTTAAAATAACTCCAGCACAGAGAAAGAAACACAAACGTTATTAAAACCTTTCCAGCCGACAGGAGCTGCAGATCAGCTGCAGCATCACGCCTGAGTCACCTGAGCGTCGGAGGAACGGGACGTTTAAAGAGCTTTATTACCTGCTGTAATCAGCTGCTCCGCTTGTTTTGGAGAGGAGGAGACTTCAGCTCTGTGGAAAAACTTAAAAACACAGTGAAACAAGTGATTTCAGTGACACGTGTTGGCGCGCTAACGCTAGATCGTTCTTAGAGGTCACCATCCTGAGGGGGACACGAAGATCTGAACCACGTTTCATCACAGTCCTTCAGCTGCAGAGAGACAGACACGACCGTGCAAAGCGTTGACACTGTTAGTAAAACAGTGGCGTTGAATGTAACCCAGGTTTGGCTGAATCCAAGGTGACGTCTTCAGATGTCGCGTTTTGTCCGACCATCAGTCCAAAACTCAAAGCTCTTCAGTTTGGTGACAGGAAACCACTTCTGTGAAGCTGAAACTGTTTTGCTTAAAAACAGCAGAGATGGTGAAATGCAGATTAATTTCCTGTTGAGTAATCTATTGTTAAACTAATGTTTCAGCTCTAGTTTTAGTGACGCTGAAGGAGGCGGAGCCTGAAACGGGACACGACGCTGTGTGTTTGTTGATTTGCTGGCTGGTCTCGCTTCTTCTAACGTGCTTTAAATAAGTAAGAACTTGTAGATAAATCTTTCATTGACCTCTCTCTTTCTTTCCCTTCAGGACATCAACGCTTACGCCTGCGTCACCGGGAAGCCCATCAGTCAGGGAGGAATCCACGGGCGGATCTCCGCCACCGGCCGAGGAGTTTTCCACGGCATCGAGAACTTCATCAACGAGGCGGCCTACATGAGCCAGCTGGGGATGAGTCCCGGCTTCCAGGACAAGACCTTCGTCGTCCAGGTACAGTCCGTCCTCTTCATCCCGGGTTCGATCCCCGGTTCCCCCGGTCTGCATGTCAAGATACTGAAACTGAATCACTGCTGAAGGCTGTGACATCAGAGTGTGAATGAGTGAATGTGACATGTAGTGTTAAGCTCTTTGAGTCAGAAGACTGCTTCCAAACTAACAAATACTGCATATCAGAGCCTCAGCTGACGATTATTTTCATCATCAGTTAGTCGTTTGGCTTGTTAAGCATCAGGAAAACGCCGATCACAACTTCCTGACGTCGTCCAGTGAAGCCCACGACCCCAAAATATTCAGTGTACTTGTGATGTCGGACCAAGAACAGCAGAAAAGTCTCACATTTGAGGAGCTGGAACCATCTGATGTTTGTATTTTTGCTTGAAAATGAGAATCTTCATGTTTTGTACTTGTCAAAACAGCTGGGGGTTTTAAACTAAATATTGCACCTGGGATATTTTATAAATATTGTATGATAACTGTTGTATTTTAGTTTATTTTCATCAAATCTACAGTTACAATTGCATTCCAGGTGTATTAGACGATCTGTCAGTTGCATTATAATCTATCTGATGATGGTTTTGATGATTTATTGCGTTAAAATAGAGCTTTTTTTTTTACCAGGCGGGGATGAAAATATCATTTTTTCTTTATTGCATCTCCATGTAGTCTGTAATGTAATAGGGGCAAATAGCTGGCTGACCCAAACAGATTCATTTATAGCTATTCATGTATTTGTGCTATATATTTTTGGGGGGTAAAAATCTTCATTTTTAAAGTAATTAGTAAGTAAAAAGCTGTCAGATAAATGTGAAGTAAAAAATTTTGCAGATGTGGTGGAGTACAAGTACAAAGTGGCATAAACTAAAGTACAAGTACCTCAAAAATGTGTACATTAAAGCCGGGGTCGGCAGGAGGGAGGCCGTCTCCTGCTGCTTTCTATAAACAGGACATGAGTAAATGTACTTGGTCACATTCCACCGCTGCGTCTGACCCTCTTTACAACCACCAGTGACCGAAATACTGAAGTCACATGATGTCAACTGAGCCGGCTCAGTTTGCTGCAGACGACGTTAACGTACATGTGAACCATCGGGAAAAGTTATTTTGGCACACGGGTCAAGAGAGGAATCCCCTCCTCGTGCTCTTGTTGTGTTTATTAATAAAACAACAGACCCGTGAAACACTCAGTTCATCTGGTTACTGAAGGCTGCCCCTTCCTGACCGCAGAGGTGCGTGACGTTAGCTTGGATTCACAGCCTCCCTCCGTTCATCCTTCAGTCCTCTTGGATCCATCATGGGAAACTGTAACCGGCATGTTTCACTACTACGGCTGGGACCAACAATTCTTATCAATATTTATCATTTAAGACCAGAAAATGTCGGGAAATAGTGAAAAATTTGAAAAGAGAAAGTTTTCTGATGCTTTATAAACTAATCAATTAGTCAATCTGTCAATCATCTTCTTGATTAATTAATAAACCAAAGAAAGTGCTGATGAAGTGGATCACCAAAGGGATTATTATTCAGTGTCTGCATCATGTTTCATGGCAAACTGTCCAGTAGTAAAAACACAACACCTGACCAAAGCGCCGGTCAGAGGATCAGTGGATGTTCATGGGTTTTAATGTGCCCTCTGTTTTGTCTGCAGGGTTTCGGTAACGTGGGTCTGCACTCCATGCGTTACCTTCATCGCAACGGGGCGAAGTGCGTCGGAATCGGAGAAGTGGACGGAAGCATCTGGAACCCCAACGGCATCGATCCCAAAGAGCTGGAGGACTACAAACTGGTCAGGACTGGGGATAGATGAATGAACGGGGGTACAGACTGGTCAGGACTGGGGATAGATGAATGAACGGGGGTACAGACTGGTCAGGACTGGGGATAGATGAATGAACGGGGGTACAGACTGGTCAGGACTGGGGATAGATGAATGAACGGGGGTACAAACTGGTCAGGACTGGGGATAGATGAATGAACGGGGGTACAGACTGGTCAGGACTGGGGATAGATGAATGAACGGGGGTACAGACTGGTCAGGACTGGGGATAGATGAATGAACGGGGGTACAGACTGGTCAGGACTGGGGATAGATGAATGAACGGGGGTACAGACTGGTCAGGACTCGGGATAGATGAATGAACGGGGGTACAGACTGGTCAGGACTCGGGATAGATGAATGAACGGGGGTACAGACTGGTCAGGACTCGGGATAGATGAATGAACGGGGGTACAGACTGGTCAGGACTCGGGATAGATGAATGAACGGGGGTACAGACTGGTCAGGACTCGGGATAGATGAATGAACGGGGGTACAGACTGGTCAGGACTGGGGATAGATCAATGCTCCACCTGCTGGATGAACAGTGTCATGCAGAAGGTCCTTAAAGGAACATACTTTTTAATCCAGTTTCACCACAAAGGTCCTCCAACGTAAAAGCTTTTAGTTCTGTGGTTCAAATGAGCAAACTGTGAACAGCAGGATGAATTGATCGACTGGTAAATTGGCTTTTGTTTTATTTTCCGTCTCCAGGCCAACGGGACCATCGTGGGCTTCCCGAACTCGACGCCGTACGAAGGAAGCATCCTGGAGGCCGACTGTGACATCCTGATCCCCGCCGCCAGCGAGAAACAGCTGACCAAGAGCAACGCACACAAGATCAAGGCCAAGGTAACACAAACACACTCACTCGATAGTTCTCTTATTATATTTTTAATTATCCTTTTTACTTTTCTGTATTCTGTTTATAGTTCTGATCATTTTCATTCTGATTGATTCTACAGACTTAATAAAACAAAATTCAGAGCCTCTAGTGGACGTATACCCCCCCCCCCCCATCATTAATGTTCAGGAGTTTTTAGTTTCTTTTTCATGGATTTGCAGCGTTAGTTCTGTGGTGAAAACCTTCAGTAGCGGCTGTGTCTAAATACATTTCCATTATTGGATATTGTTCCTAAAATAAATCCCCTCTAACTGGTATGGGTTGTACGAAGTGTGCAGGGTGGGGGTGAAGCGGTCTCTGCTGCTGTTCTAGAGTATAATGACTGGATGAACCCACTTCACTGGTTTCCTACTACACGGCTACTTCCTGTTGCCTCCAGGGCGCACTGCGCTGCATGGTGACGTGGCGATGGAACAGTGGATAAGACGCATGCCTTTGGTGCGAGGTTATTATAGTTTAGGGTTTTTCATTAGTTTTTGTTTGGACTTTTTGTTTTCAATTTCAGTTTAGTTTTAATCAGTTTTTAACTTGGGTTTGCTAGTTTATTTTTTTATTTTTTTGAAAATGCTTAGTTTTAGTTTAGGTTTTATTAGTTTCAGTGTTAGTTTTAGTCTTTGTCGCTGCACGATCCCAAGATCAGTTCAGTTTTTTCACAAAACATTAAAATACATGTACAATCAGAAATATTTGTGAAAAGGGAAACTTTTTTTAAGCTATCTGAAGCTTGTACATGACAGGAGCCCAAACAGTAAGTGTGTGTGTGTATATATGTGTGTGTGTGTATGTGTGTGTGTGTGTGTGTGTGTGTGTATATATATATATATATATAAAAAAATCGAAGTACTGGCACATTGTCTAAATAAATACTACAAATAAAAATAAATGAAGCACATGCAATCCCAGTATAATTTCTCTACACTAACCTTTTTCTCAAAGAGCACATGTGCTCTTAACTGAAAAAATTTAGGAGCACACAAAGAAATTTAGGAGTGCAGTGAAAAATGTTCAAGTAACTGAGTTTAACAAACCATTTATTAAATAGATATTTATACTACATGTGTGCTCCCTCTTGTGTTCAATGGCATGAAACCACTGGAGGATTATGGAAGTGAAGACGCTGGTATCTGTACGCTCAGCAGTGGCCTTTAAATATTCTCAAAGCTTTTAAAATATTGAAACAGTTGTTTTGAAAATTTATGCTTTGGTCGGCTTACCGTTGCTTTTCTGTCCTGTTTTCCCATCATGCCTCCGTACACCGACCCGGTGTCTGTTTCAGATCATCGCCGAGGGAGCGAACGGTCCGACCACGCCGGAAGCCGACCGCATCTTCCTGGACAGAAACATCATGGTGATCCCGGTCAGTGGAGACTAAAGACAGATCATGTGTCAGTGGGACTTTTTAACCTTTCAGGTGTAATGATGTTTTATTTTATTCTGTTTGCTCCTCCTCTCCTCGTCCCAGGACATGTACCTGAACGCCGGCGGTGTGACCGTTTCGTACTTCGAGTGGTTGAAGAATCTGAATCACGTCAGCTACGGTCGACTCACCTTCAAATACGAGCGCGACTCCAACTACCACCTGCTCAGTGAGTGACCACAAGAGTGTGAACGTCTGTCAGCCACTGAAACACCAAACGGGTTTATGATAAACTACGAGTTTGTTTCCCTCCTCTCTCTCTCCCCAGTGTCGGTCCAGGAGAGTTTAGAGAGGAAGTTTGGGAAACATGGCGGCGCCATTCCCATCGTCCCCACCTCTGAGTTCCAGGCCAGGGTCGCTGTGAGTACACACACATACTGCTGCGACTGTTACTACACGTCTCCTTCTTCTTCTGTGGTGTTGTAAACATGTGTCTGGTTGCAGGGAGCGTCTGAGAAGGACATCGTTCACTCAGGTCTGGCGTACACCATGGAGCGCTCTGCCAGGGTAACGCACACACACACACCTTTTCATAAATGTTCATGTGTGAATCAGCTCGACGGCGGTCTGAAACTTCTCTGTCTCACTTTCATTATCAACTTAAAATCAGTTTTGTAAACAGCAAAACAACCGGGTGGAGACACTAAATCTGTGCACACCTGTGTGAACATTTCCCTGAGTAAATCCCAGGAGGCTCCTCCTGCAGACTCAGACCTGCTGTAACGGCTGTTTTTGGCCACTTGGGGGCAGCAGGAACTGTTTTTAACCCACCCTGTTCACCAGCTGGTCTCTGAAACAGCTTCCTGCTGCCGTCACACACCGTTCACTCTGTTTGAAGTACTGATCCCTGACCTGGAAACATTTACATACATATACGTTACATACACGCTCCTTGTCTCCTTCTCTACATCCTCTCCTCCCTCCTCATGCAGCAAATCATGCGGACGGCCAACAAGTACAACCTGGGTTTGGACCTGCGGACGGCGGCGTACGTCAACGCCATCGAGAAGGTGTTCCAGGTTTACAACGAGGCCGGCCTCACCTTCACATAGAGACGCCTGCCTGTCTCTTGTCCGTCTGTCTGTCGGTTGTCCATCGCCTCTGCAGGACACTTTGCATACAGCAGCTGTGCGGATGAAGAGTCTGACAGTTTGTCTCTGACGCTCCTCTGAATCACATATCAGCTCAAATACACCTGCAGAGAAATAAATGAATATAAATATATATAGACAAAAAGCCTTAATAGCACAGGGAAGCTTTGTCACCATTTGCCTACACAAACACACTCTGTGGCCAAAACTATGTGGACACTCGTTCTCACTCCTCAGTGGTGTGTTTCCCAGCCTGAGCGCTCATTAAACTGTAAACATTATAATCTGACTGACTTTTTTTGTTTATTAGTAGTGGATTTATTTTTTGTCTGCGTCGTCTGATTCTTTGCTTTGTGTGGGTTTTTTTTTCTTTTTTTTTTTTTTTTTTGTTCTGCTTCCAGTGTCATGTGAATTTTTGCTCTTCCTCTTTCTTGAGTCTGTCTTTAGGGTTTCGGTCGGGAAAAACTCCTGGGGCGCCACTTTTCACTGCGACTAATGATTACAGATCAGTGAATCTGCTGATTATTTAAAAAGATAAATCTGGTGAATCCAGAAAGAGTCCGAGGTGACGTCTTCAGGTGTCCTGAAAACTAAGAAGCTGGAGAATCTTTGCTTTAAAAAGTAAAATCAGTTGCTGATTATCACAATAGTTAAAGGTGTTTTTTATTCTCACATCTATTCGTCCAGTAGTTCGCAGCTCTCCTGCTTTGTACCAGTTGTGAGACGTTCAACCAAAGACTGAAGATGTGTTTCCTTGTTTGAATCATTTTTCAAACACTTGTTCAATTAAAGTTAAAGATTAACTGACCGTTTGTATAAACACGTGACACCAGACGAGTGGATGCTGTAGAGTCAGTGTGGTGTTGGGCGTCCACATACTTCTGGCCACATGGTGTCTCTACAGCTGTGTCTTGTTTTTATACGACTCGATGCACATATGCCTCAGGACTTTAATATCTGCTGCCTGTGAAGTCTGGTGTTTTAATTCAACCAGATTTTACATTGAGTCTGGCGGCCGCTGGCTTCACTTCATTTCTGTTTTGCTGTGTTGCTCCTTCGGTCTGCGCTCATTTACCTGCACAGTTACATGTTTGAATAGAAATCAGGGGCTGAAACTCAGAGATCTGAAACACTACACTCTTTCTGACGTGTTGGTTCAAACGTTGAGCTCCTCGTTTAGCTCGTGTGCAGTAAATTGGACTTTAAACCAAACTCCTCTGACAGTTTGCTGGGTTTTCTTCCCTCTCAGGTCTCGACACTGTTGCAGCTAATGCTAAAGTACAAACAGCAGGACTGATCTGCAGAACGTTTAAACTTTCTGTCTGTAACTATGCAAATAGCTGAGTTCACACGCTGCTAACTCCCGGCCCCTGGAGGAGACTCACCTGTCCGTCCCACAGGGGCCACAGACGCACAATTCAAAGCTTTAATCATCTTTTTACGCAGCAGCTCACGGAGGTGATTTTGGAGGTGTTTGGTTGTTTTTGTGTTGATTGTTTGCAGCGCTGCCGCCGCCATCACCTGACACCTTAAAGACTAAAGTTTCATCTCTCAGGTGGGCAGGGGGCGGGGCTACCTGCTGGAGGAAGGGGACTTCTGTCCGTCAGCTCTGATTCAAGCTGTGGGAGTCTGTGAGGGAGCTTTTATGCCCTTTTTGTTAAAACGGAATGTTTTAAATAAAGTTTAAAAAAAAAAAAAAGTCATGTGTTGAGTTTTAATTTGATTAAAACTTTTTTGATTTTTTTTATTGTTTAGGTTTCAGAACTCATGTGGGCTCAACAGGTGACATGGATTTTAAAAAAGGAAAAAGACATCACCTGTCCATCTCTCAGTTCAATTCAAATTAACTTTAACTGGCCAGGCTGTGTTCACTCAGTCTGTATGGTGTCAACATTTTTCTTAGTTTAGGGCATTTTATTGTGCTCAGGTAATTTGCCAGTGTGAAGTAAGTGTAGTTTTTTGTGTGTTGTAATTTAGTGGTGTCTAAATAGAAATTGTGTGTAACCTGATTTCTGTATTGTTTCTGAAAGATCATTATCTTAGTCTTTGCTGTGTTTGCTGTCAGGGCCCAGGTCTGACAGAATCTCTGAAGGAGGTTAAGGTGCTGCTGAAAACCTTCTTTAGTAGGTGAGAGCAACACTAAGTCATCTGCATACAGCAGACCTCTGATCTCTGTCGTTCAGGAGGAGGCCAGGTGACGTGGAACTCTCTAATTGGTTCGCTAATTCATTTTAAATATAGGTTGAAGAGAATTGGACTGAGATTGCATCCATGCCTCACTCCCCGGCCCTGGGAGAAGAACACTGTTTGTTTGTTTCCAATCTTTATGGCATGTTCACTTTTTGTATACATGTTCTTAATCAAATCATATGTTTTTCCTCCAATGCCACTTTCAAGTAGCCTATAGAAAAGGCCCTCGTGCCAGATGGAATCAAAGGCTTTTTGGAAGTCAACTAAACAGGCATATACCTTCCTTTTCCTAACGTTTAATTCTTGATCAATCAGAGTCTGGAGGGTAAATATAGGGTCCGTTGTGCGGCTATTTGGCATTTATGCAGAATATTGTGGTTATCAACAAAGTTGAGAAGTCGTTTTATTAATGATGTTGCAGAATATTTTTCCCAGGTTACTGTATACACATATTCCTCTGTAGTTATTTGGGTCATATTTATCTCCGGATTTATGAATTGGGGTTATTAAACCTTTGTTCCAGATGTCTGGTAAAGTTCCAGTTGCTAGAATAGTATTGAATAGTTTTAGTATAGCCAATCTGATTTTATGGTCTGAGTATTTGATCATTTCGTTGAGGATTCCATCAATACCACAAGCCTTTTTTCCTTTCAGGGACTGGATGACTTCTGTTCATTCTTGTTCTGTTACAGGGTAATCTAGAGGGTGTTGGTTGTTTTTTTATCACCGCCTCCAGAGTTTTCCATTTCGTGAATATCTTGTACTGATCATCATTACTGTATAATTCACTACAGTGATTAATCCAAGTATTTCCATCTTGGTTTGCCAATTCATCCTGCTGGGTTTTGTTTAGGTTGTTCCATTTCTCCCAGAACTGGTTGGACTCTAAGGATTCCTCAGTTTCACAGAGCTGCTTCTTGCTGTGTTGTTCTTCCTTAGTTTTTAGGGTGTACTTGTCTGTATGGGTATGTGCTGTTAAACAGTTCACAGGCACTAGGGGCCCCAGACTTAGACTGAACCCTTTTCAGATAGTGGTCTGAGGGGGCTGACTGTGAAAGCTCTGAGAGACACTGGATCTAGATCTGTAATGAAATAATCTACCGTACTACTGGCAAGAGCTGAGCTGTAAGTGTAGCGACCCAGAGAGTCCCCTCGTAGCCCGCCGTTGACTCTGTACAGACCCAGAGAGTCCCCTCGTAGCCTGCCGTTGACCCTGTACAGACCCAGAGAGTCCCCTCGTAGCCCGCCGTTGACTCTGTACAGACCCAGAGAGTCCCCTCGTAGCCCGCCGTTGACCCTGTACAGACCCAGAGAGTCCCCTCGTAGCCCGCCGTTGACTCTGTACAGACCCAGAGAGTCCCCTCGTAGCCCGCCGTTGACTCTGTACAGACCCAGAGAGTCCCCTCGTAGCCCGCCGTTGACCCTGTACAGACCTAGAGAGTCCCCTCGTAGTCCGCCGTTGACTCTGTACAGACCCAGAGAGTCCCCTCGTAGCCCGCCGTTGACTCTGTACAGACCCAGAGAGTCCCCTCGTAGCCCGCCGTTGACCCTGTACGGACCCAGAGAGTCTCCTCGTAGCCCGCCGTTGACCCTGTACGGACCCAGAGAGTCCCCTCGTAGCCCGCCGTTGACCCTGTACGGACCCAGAGAGTCCCCTCGTAGTCCGCCGTTGACCCTGTACAGACCCAGAGAGTCCCCTCGTAGCCCGCCGTTGACCCTGTACGGACCCAGAGAGTCCCCTCGTAGTCTGACGTTGACCCTGTACGGACCCAGAGAGTCCCCTCGTAGTCTGACGTTGACCCTGTACGGACCCAGAGTCCCCTCGTAGTCTGACGTTGACCCTGTACGGACCCAGAGTCCCCTCGTAGTCTGACGTTGACCCTGTACGGACCCAGAGAGTCCCCTCGTAGTCCGCCGTTGACCCTGTACAGACCCAGAGAGTCCCCTCGTAGCCCGCCCGCCGTTGACCCTGTACGGACCCAGAGAGTCCCCTCGTAGTCTGACGTTGACCCTGTACAGACCCAGAGTCCCCTCGTAGTCTGACGTTGACCCTGTACAGACCCAGAGTCCCCTCGTAGTCTGACGTTGACCCTGTACAGACCCAGAGTCCCCTCGTAGTCTGACGTTGACCCTGTACGGACCCAGAGAGTCCCCTCGTAGCCTGACGTTGACCCTGTACAGACCCAGAGAGTCCCCTCGTAGTCTGACGTTGACCCTGTACAGACCCAGAGTCCCCTCGTAGTCTGACGTTGACCCTGTACGGACCCAGAGAGTCCCCTCGTAGCCTGACGTTGACCCTGTACAGACCCAGAGAGTCCCCTCGTAGTCTGAAGTTGACCCTGTACAGACCCAGAGAGTCCCCTCGTAGCCCGCCGTTGACCCTGTACGGACCCAGAGAGTCCCCTCGTAGCCCGCCGTTGACTCTGTACGGACCCAGAGAGTCCCCTCGTAGCCCGCCGTTGACTCTGTACGGACCCAGAGAGTCCCCTCGTAGTCCGCCGTTGACCCTGTACAGACCCAGAGAGTCTCCTCGTAGCCCGCCGTTGACCCTGTACGGACCCAGAGAGTCCCCTCGTAGCCCGCCGTTGACCCTGTACGGACCCAGAGACTCCCCTCGTAGTCCGCCGTTGACCCTGTACAGACCCAGAGAGTCCCCTCGTAGCCCGCCGTTGACCCTGTACGGACCCAGAGAGTCCCCTCGTAGTCTGACGTTGACCCTGTACGGACCCAGAGAGTCCCCTCGTAGTCTGACGTTGACCCTGTACGGACCCAGAGTCCCCTCGTAGTCTGACGTTGACCCTGTACGGACCCAGAGTCCCCTCGTAGTCTGACGTTGACCCTGTACGGACCCAGAGAGTCCCCTCGTAGTCCGCCGTTGACCCTGTACAGACCCAGAGAGTCCCCTCGTAGCCCGCCCGCCGTTGACCCTGTACGGACCCAGAGAGTCCCCTCGTAGTCTGACGTTGACCCTGTACAGACCCAGAGTCCCCTCGTAGTCTGACGTTGACCCTGTACAGACCCAGAGTCCCCTCGTAGTCTGACGTTGACCCTGTACGGACCCAGAGAGTCCCCTCGTAGCCTGACGTTGACCCTGTACAGACCCAGAGAGTCCCCTCGTAGTCTGACGTTGACCCTGTACAGACCCAGAGTCCCCTCGTAGTCTGACGTTGACCCTGTACGGACCCAGAGAGTCCCCTCGTAGCCTGACGTTGACCCTGTACAGACCCAGAGAGTCCCCTCGTAGTCTGAAGTTGACCCTGTACAGACCCAGAGTCCCCTCGTAGTCTGACGTTGACCCTGTACGGACCCAGAGAGTCCCCTCGTAGTCTGACGTTGACCCTGTACAGACCCAGAGTCCCCTCGTAGCCTGACGTTGACCCTGTACAGACCCAGCGTCCCCTCGTAGTCTGCCGTTGACTCTGTACAGACCCAGCGTACGGCAGAGCTGGAGAAGCTGCAGACCGCTTGTATTAGTCAGCTTGTCAAAGCTCTTTCTAGCAGGACATTCAGGGAAGCAGGTGCTTCCAGGTAAGTGTTTGTCTCCCTGGGTGTTCATAGTGTCGGCTCTTTACCATGTTCGAGCGTTCAAGTCTCCACAGATTAACACATTTCCCATGGTTTTATAATGGTTAACTTCCTCCTCAAGAATAGAGAAAGTATCTGGGTTGTAGTAGGGGGGTTCTGATGGAGGTATGTAGATGGCACACATGTAGACATGTTGCTCAGCACAAATCATCTGTTTGTTCATTTTCAACCATATATTAGCTTCTTCTTTTGTAATAACTGATGGACTGGCTCAGTTCTGATTTCACCATAATCAGGCCTCCTGAATCTCTGCCTTGGGTTACTGTGGGATTTTTTGTTGATAGTATAATAATGTCAGTGTAGCCGTGAGGACGACCAGCGGAAACATCTTCTCTGCACCATGTCTCCTGTAAAACTATGATGTCAGAGTCTTTTACTCGCTATTAAAATCTGGATTTCTGCTCTTTAAACCAGAAGCTGATGATCTCAGACCTCGAATGTTCCAACATGTTATTGTAAACGATTTCATCTCCAAGTGTAATCTGTTCAAAAATTAGACAACACCTTAAAAA